TTTCTTTTCTCTTTGATGTATTAGATAGTCAAGCTTATGGCACAATTCACCCCACCCTCAATCGAACTCACTTCATGAACTAAATTATAGCGTATATTTATCGCTTCCCTTTAAGTTCAAGTGTACTTTTTCTTTCAACTATGATGTAATCATTTTGTTGGAAACCAAAGCTAATAAAAAATACAATATGAAGATCAATCAGTTTACTATCCTACGCCGAGACAGAAATGATAGCAAAGATGAAGGAATAGATATAGCTATAAAAAACGACATCATTTTCACGATCAAATAATCAATTCCGAGTACGCCTAACGTTCTAACCCAACCCCTAACCATCAAACTCAATAACTCTAACCACACAATAGCTACTATATACAGATCATCCCACAATGACCATCCCTTTTCCGCTACTTTTTGGAAAATTTCATCTGAATCACTATCCCAATTTAACTTGATCTTTGCATGTGATGACTTTAACTGCCACAATACAGCTTGGGGCAGTTCTAACATTGACGATATCGGTGACACGCTACTACCTCATTTCACTGACAATGACGTCATCCTCAACGACGATATTACCCACTCATATAAACAAAAAAAATCCACATAATCCAACCTGTATAAATTTATCATTTGTGTCCCCCCATTTACACGCTCTCTGCGAATGAACCGTGAAGAAGATAATTTAGGAAGTAATCACTATCTAATATCGTTTAATATAGGTATCTCCCGCCCTTCCTCAAAACCCTCTTTTAACTTAAGGTACAATTTTCGGAGGTTCAAATCTTCTAAGGACTGGCTGCCTTTCTGCAACTATCTTCAACAAATTTCACTAGACAATTTCAACACCGACAACACCCATTAAGACAACTACATTGTGGCAATTAAAATCACCGCCTGCAAAAATAAACTACTCCCACGAAATCTCAACTATAGTACAAGCTATAGAATACGTCTTCCCTCACTGCAAACCATCTCAGGGCTACGAGCCAGACACCAATATACGAAACCCTCTTTTAACTTAAGGTACAATTTTCGGAGGTTCAAATCTTCTAAGGACTGGCTGCCTTTCTGCAACTATCTTCAACAAATTTCACTAGACAATTTCAACACCGACAACACCCATTAAGACAACTACATTGTGGCAATTAAAATCACCGCCTGCAAAAATAAACTACTCCCACGAAATCTCAACTATAGTACAAGCTATAGAATACGTCTTCCCTCACTGCAAACCATCTCAGGGCTACGAGCCAGACACCAATATACGAAACCCTCTTTTAACTTAAGGTACAATTTTCGGAGGTTCAAATCTTCTAAGGACTGGCTGCCTTTCTGCAACTATCTTGAACAAATTTCACTAGAATACTCCACGAACTCACGCCTCGTGATCGAACCAAGGCTGTGAGCAGGTCAATCATCTGCGAAAATTAGCTTTGGAGGACTTTCGTCACAACCCTAGCCCAATCATTGAACTCACCACAGCTGAAAAACATGCAAAACGAACATTCAAGCAAGCCAAAGCATCTGCCTTCTTAGAATTTTGCGTAGTTATCAGTCCTTCTACCCCACTTTCCACTAACTTTAAAACTATCAAAAGGTTTCGGCATAGATCGTTGGGAGCGCAATGCGCCAAAAATAACTCTGAAAATATCGAAAAACAGGAAGGAATGATTGACACTATATGTCCTCCCTCCTGCACCGCCTAAAATTTTCCCACAATCTTCACTCCCTCAGAAATAACAACACAGTTTTTCAATAAATCCCATATACTCTAAGAAATAAAATCAGCAATAGACTCTTGCAGTAAAAGGCTCTACCCCGGAGCTCGATAAAATTGATTATTGTATGATATTCAATCTACCAGACAACATCATACGAGTACAAGAATTGCTCAATGCTGAAAGCATTGTTGAAAACAACATCTAGCAATCAAACGCTTTCCCGAAATCATGGAACGAATTTCTCGTCTTCTTCATTCTTAAAACAGATAAACACAAATTTAGATTGATTTCTTTGGCCCCGGCCTCCCTAAAATTATTTGAAAAAATGATTTTTACCTGACTATCTTGGTGGATAGAGTACAACCTAAGACTGCCGCTTTCACAATAAGGATTCAGAAAGTCAAGATCCTGCATCGATAACTGCTATTCTCATCTTTAAAATATACACCAGCTTTTCCAAAGTTCTATACGCCGCAGTTGCTTATCTGGACGTAAAAAGTGTTTTTCATGACGTTGACCCAACCACTCTGACGTACGCCCTAAGAAATCTAGAACTTCAAGAACTACTTTGTAAATTCTACCACAACCTCACGTTCGAAAGAATTATTTATTAATTTATTTCAATGTCACCGATAAGATACTAGGCTCATTTATCACAAGGACAGGGGATTTCCAGGACTGTGTTTCGAGCCCTATCCTTCACAGCATCAGCACCAGACAACTCAACTCCATTCTCTTAGAATACGAAATTAGTTCGCCGATGACATCGCATTGTTTGCCGCATCAAACGACCCAGAAACTGCTCTAAAAACAATTGAGAGAAACATTCACAGAGTAAATCTTTTCCTTAATAAAATTGTATTATCATTCTCCCTAGGAAAAACAAAAGTTATAATCCACACCAACAAGTATATAACAAAAAAACAAACACCTCAAACATGCACAGAATTGTCAACACTGTTATACCCTCTCAGTCAGCGAGAAAGAGAAATTTTTTGGCTTGACCTTAGATACGAGACTACCTTGGACGACGCATCTCCAACACAACCGCGAAAATCATACCCGCCATGAATGTCTTGAATACATATTGTTGTGGGGAGGTCATCCTAGGACTCTCCTCCTCATCCACAACGCAATTATTGCTGCAGTTATCGACTACGGCTCACCATGCATCCCCATCAACACCAAACAGTTATTATATAAGCTCAATGTTACACAAAGAAGCGCTCTCAGATTAGCTCTAGGTATTAGGGACTCAACTCCTAATAGTTAAACTCAGATAGAAAAAACTCGCCTTAAACTACGTTCTTCGTTCTTTCGCAACAATAATCGAAGCTATCTCCGAACTATCATACTCGATAAAAACCAACTCACCGTAATATCTACGCACCTTCCCACTACTGACTGCATACCTAAAATTGAAATCGCTAAAAAAGAAAATTTACTCATGCTCCATTCCCTCTTGCTATTTCTTCCCGTTAAAAGCCCAACAAACAACCTTAAAATCAATTTAAGACAAAGGCACTCAAATAAAATAGCCGGATAATACACCCCAAGAATTCATCATACAATTTCAAAATATCCTCAACACGTACACGCCGTTCTTCACCGATGGATCAACAAAAGACCCCGGCCTTTATATAGGACTCACCATACATAACCCTACACCACTAAATCTAAATTTGCAGTTCCAAATTGACACTCAAGCATCGATTTTCTCAGTACCTACACTATCCAACTCACCCTAGAATACATACGTCTTAAAAATATTCCAAAATATGTGATATTTACAGACTCGCTGAGCACGATAGACTCTAACGAATCCGTCATACTAAACTCCTCTTACATCACTATTTACAGGATTAAAAACGTTGCCTTAGAAATCGAACAAAGTAACCAAGAGATTCTCTTAGCTTGGATCTCCAGCTACCTAGGCATTCCAGGCAATAAAATTGTCGACGATCTCGCGATATCAAAGTCATAGGTGTCGGAACAAAACCGGTCCATCTTCTCCTATATTTAGATTTCCTTTAACTAGTCAACGACTTTTGCAAAAAGAAATTCCACGACTTTCTTATAAACTCCGATACAAACAAAAAGACGCTATCCTTTAACCTATACTATGAAAACTCGCCTAAACCATTGTTCCACAAACTACCACTGCTAAAGATAGAAACAGTTACAATAACGCGAATGAAAAGCAATCACTACAGCCTCGCCCACTACTTATACAGAAAGAATTTAATCAATTCTGACCTCTAAGCATGTGGCCAGGACATACAAGACGGTAACTACATGTTTTGATCCAGCAACCGCTTCGACACCCAGCGCAAATCCCTACTTCACAAGCTCACAAAACTCAAATTATACCCTTCTTACACCATCACACAATTCTTACACAACCCAAATTATGACTGCCTAACTACCCGTTGCAAATTCCTAAAAAAAATACGATATCACAATATAGTTTCCACACAATGCACAACACTCTACAATATACTCACGACTACAACAACTAGCCTTCTCTTCTTCTTTCAGTCTACCTGAACTCTATACTTTACTTTACTTTCTACTTTCAAACTCTCCGCCAAGTTAGAAAACATACGCGCCTGCTCAGTGCTCACAATTCAGTTGATGGCCGTAAAGAGCTTATACGTTAAGTTAAATCCCACTCTGGTGCCAATAAAACAGAACAGAATAGGCCGGCGGTCACCACCCCCAAAATGACATGGTAGTAGTGACCAGATCAATCCTCTAGTCGCTAATAATGATGTACTTTTATATTTTCAAGAGAATATATACGAATATGCGGTTTAAAATTTTCTGAAGTTGGGAGAACATTATAAAACACGCGAAAATTTTTAAAAATGAGAAAAAAAATTTCGTAATTTTTGACATTCAACTCGCTGTAACTCAGCAAATAATAAATATTTCTCTTTACGAATTTAATTACATATATTTGACCCAATTCTAAAAAGAGGAAAAATGGTCCAAAGTTTCCAAAACATTTTATAATTTTATCACTGCAATACATCGTTAATTTGTAAACATACATGTAAACGTAAACGTTTTTCTATATTAATTTGCAAGAATCAATTTAACACGAAATTCATGTATTTAAATTTGCAGTTCTTCGCGCCCTTACCGGTGTCACTGTGATCGTGTTGTAATACATATATCTGTAAAACTTCGTAACAATAAAAAATATTAAAATTAAATATAGTTTTATAAACATAACCTATTCGATGTATGTACATTCTTGCAGACGACACGGAATGTGTCACGTCGGTTTCAATTAGTTAATACATAAAATATGAGTTTATTAATTTTACAAATAAAAATAGATAAATACTTAATATTTTCAATATAATAAAACTGAAATAATCAGCAAGCATTACACAATTTATTTTACATTTATAGAATAATTAATCTCTATACGATTTGTCCGTAATTCATTAATCGTGCTCGATAATATTGATAGTGGTTTTAACGATTCTAATATATGAATGTGGATTAAAATAGAATAATAATTAGAATGAACAGAAATATTGCTAGATTAAACATTTATTTAAATAATTAGAATTAATATAAGAATGATAGTGATGGTGCAGTTTTCATAATGAAATTCTTAGATATCAGTACAGATGTGTTAGCCATCAAATGTGTGGGAAATTACATATTTGTTGGTATGAAAATGATTTTTAAGTAGCAATAATTAATAAATACTATAGTGTATATTTATATGGTTTTTAATCACAGGATCAGGCTGCAAGTTGTATGTGATATACAAAAATGATTTCAAAATAAAATTAAAAATAAATGCATTACATCCTGATAACATACATGGTATTGTGTATAGAAATAATAAGTTAATTGTTTATGGAGGAAAATGTTTGTGCTGCTTTGATCTTGATATGATAAATGATTCAATAAAGTAAGTACAAAAATAAAAATTTACAGTATAATGTCTTTTGAATTTCAGGATCTTTTATTTTAATTCTATATTAATTTATCAGCATAACAAAATCGGACATTGTACATAAATTTGATGATTGGATTATAAGTGTTGAATGGCTAGAGCCATTACACAATTCCAATTTAACTGTTTTATTTGCACATAATAATGTTTTTACTTTTGATTTTAATGAGAGAGAGTATTTTAATACCACTTGCAATGAAACATGTCTATTGTATCCTTTATACATTTTTATTTGATTTATTTATTGTCTGGTTTCATTAGTTTAAATAATATTTCTTTAACAAAAATATTCAGATATGCTGGAAGTATGTGTGGTAATGGTCCTGGAAATGTAATTATATTTAGTGGAACCGTATTTCAGGAAATTTTAATATGGAAAGTAAACCAGAATAAATTAACAACTACTCCAAATGGAATTAGCAAATACTCCAAAGTTTTGCATAGATTAAAAGGACACAAAGTTTGTATTATTGATTATAATTCATTAATAAATATAACCAGTTCTATAACTTTAATAAAAAAAGTATATTTCAGGGTGTAATATTTTCAGTGTTTTATAATTCATTTAATAATTTGATTTGTTCTACGTCTGATGATAGAACTGTGCGATTATGGAAAGTAGTTTCAGAATACAATTCAGATCAAACAAATCTGATCTGGGAAAATGTTGAGGTATCTCTTCAAGCTACAATGTATGGTCACTTAGCAAGGGTATGGAAAGCTATAATGTTAAAAGATATGATTGCGAGTATTGGAGAAGTAAGTAATAACATTATCTTGTACTATATATCAAATATGTATTGATTACTTTGTATCATCATAATTTTTAAATGTTTTCTTATTTTTAAAATAAAGGACTCTCGAATATGCTTTTGGGATTTGTCTGGAAAATTATTGAATAAGGTGGAAGCTCACTGCGGTGCACCTATCTGGTGTATAGATATGTCGCAAGATAATATTATTTATACAGGAGGTGCTGATGGTTCAGTAAATTCTTGGCCTTCTAATAAAACTACAAATTATGTACAAAACAAATTAGCATTAGATACTGACATGGTTCCTAAATATGTCAATTATCTCCATAATTGTGATATTATCGTATATGCAAATATGAGAAGTTCTAGCAAATTATTACACTATTTAGAAGATAAAAACTTATTGGTTGATGCTTATGATTTACCTATGCATAATTCAAGCTACTGTATTATGGAAATGTCTCCAGATAGAAAGTCAATTGCTTTAGCTTCAATTAAAGGTGAAATATCACTTTACAAAAGTAAGTTTCAATAAATTTGAATAATAGTTAATGAATCTTTGCTTTTATCAGTATTTAAAGATGAAACAACTTATAATTATTACAGAATCTGAAAATACATGGATTAAAAATGGTACCTATAAGATTACTGAATTTAAAATATCTTCTATGCAGTGGTTGAGTGTTGATATAGCTTTAATTAGTGCAGCAAAAGGAAGTTTATGTGTGGTTAAATTTTCTATTCAAGGTAAAGTTAATTAGTAATGAATTAGTAATAAATTAAAAAATGATATAAAAAATATTTCAATATTGATATGTTAAATTTAATGTTTGAGGTTTCGAAATTTTATCACAACACAAATTGCCTGCAAGTCGCGAACGCTGGGTTACAGCAGCTTGCATGTATGATAATATTATGATATGCGGAGACAGGATGGGTAGTATTTTTGTGTATAAACTGTCAATTGACTCTGTTAACCCAATTCAATCTTTTAAAAAAATTCATGGCAGACTGGGTGTACAGTCATGTATTGTAATTGAAAACAATTTACTGACTAGTGGTCGTGATGGAAAATTAAGATTTTATAATATCTATAAACTAGATAATGAAGTTCCAAAAATTGAATACATATATTGTAAGAACATGCCCATGGATTGGGTTAGTAAAGTGTTAAAGTATCAAAATGACTATTATGTTTTAGGGTTCAAAGAGGTATTATATATTATTACTAGATAATTTAAAAAATAAAATCATTGCAATTGAAGTTAAAATTTATTTATACAACAATAATTTATATTTTATTTTAGGATGAGTTTGTTATGTATAGTGTTTCATTAAAAAGAATTTTAGTTAAATTTTCTTGTGGAGGTGGCCATAGATCTTGGGATTGCATAATTTACAATAATGAAATACATTTTGTATATATTAAAAAAAAACAATTTCATAGTATTGTTATTCCTTTAGATACTTTATATATTCCACCTTTATTGGTATGTATAATACACAATTTTATCAACTTTCATTGAAAATCATAAATAATTTTGTGTATATTACAGACAGGTTTATGTAAGAAAGAAATATACACAGTTAAGTCAATCCCAATCGTCTCAAAAAGTTGTAATATTTTAGTAGGTGGAGGAGAGGATTGTACCTTGAATTTAATACACATTAATTCATCTACAAAAGAATCAAACATGAACTTTAAAAATTTAGAATCCTTTGATGGACATTTATCTTGTATTAAATGTATTTCAATATTTGCCCTGAGTGAAAATGAAAATGTTAGTAAAAGCTTAATTTTTTCTGGAGGTGGAAGAGCTCAACTAAGAATATGGGAAGTGACCATAAAGTCAAATAATAATTTGTTTGAAAGTGCGGATTTGCTTTGCAAAGATCTTTCGTCATACATGTTATATGGACCAGACACAGAACGAGATAAAATTTGGATTGGTAAAGAATTAATGTACAATATTGATCCAGAAATGAGATATATGGACATAAGCACACTAAAAATTTCTAGTAATGGTCAAAGTATACTTATTTTTATAGCTTGTTCGGATGGATGCTTAAGGTAACCATGATTTGCAAAAGTAATATCTTATACTTTTTAAAAATGAATGAATATTCTTTTAGGACATTTACCTATGACGTATTTTCAAATGAAATAAAATTAATCAACACTTTGTCTTACAAACATCGATGTATTTTAAAAATTCACTCATTTATATTTCGAGAAAAAATATTTTTAATAACCATGGCAACTGATGGATTTTTAAACTTCTGGCATTTTTTTTTTAATAACGAAGAAGTTGATATAACAAAATTATCTGTTAATGACGAAATGGAATTTCATTTACATCAATCAGGAATTAATAGTTTTGACATAGCAATTATTAGTGATACTAAATACTTATTAGCCACAGGTGGAGATGACAATCTCCTTTGCTTAACAAGTTTTCAAATTCATTTCCCAGATAATAGCATTCCATCTATACAAATTATTTCTATATGGAAGACTAATTGCGTACATTATGCGCAAATTACAGGTAATTTTATGATATTATCTTTTCAATACACCATGCAGAAAGTATAACTTAAAAGAATGACGAAAGTCGCCTCACGTTCAGTGAAAAATGTGTGCTCCATTCGCGCTTTCCACACGTTGTATTGAAAAATACTGTATCTAACATGTTCGGGAAAGAGATTCTCGTCTCGTATGCCTTTTCACTCTCGCTTCGCCTAGCTTGAGCGTAAACTTCACACAAGGCAAGAATTTATTTCTTCGCGCTAGTATTAGCTAATGTACTATTGTTGAATTCTTTGACAAAATATAATACTTTCATTTAATTTGTTTTATTACTTAGGTGTGAAACTTCTAAATAATAAATGGCTTTTTAGTGTTGGAGCTGATCAGAAACTTTCAATACATAAATATTCATTTAGCAACACTGAAATTCATTCCACACTTGTCAAAGATGAGACTCTTTGTATACCTGATATACAAGGGTTCACATTTATTGAAGATGCAATGTAATTATTATTGTAATTTTTTTGACTATATTTTTTAATTGAATGATAAAAATGAGTTTTAATTTCAGAAAAGATACAAGTTCATTTTGTGTATATGGAAAGGGAATCCAGTTATTACAATATCAAAACAAAGAATTCTCATGATGAACTTTTATATAACAATATTTTGTTACCACACCCACACACACACACACACAACTAAATAAATAAAATATCGTTAAAAAATATTTTACTTAATTTATTTTAATATATCTGTGTGGATCTGTATCCATAATAAATTATATGATTATGTAAAAAAATAAGTACCAAAGGAAGTTAGATTAACAGCTTATCTTGTCAAGTTATGTTTTCCACAATCCCGTAAATAAAGCTCTGCAACTTGCTAAAGAACCCATATGATAACCCATATCGATGCTCAATTGTCGTAAATAATTTGGATTTTAAACTTTGCCGGTCGCGAATTAACGTATCACGGGCAGATATTTTTCTGGCGTCGGCTGCTATATGCGCAGTAGACTAGATACGCGTACTGTCGCGATAATTTAGTAAATTAAAATTCTTTAAAACTTTTTGCAACTTTTTAAAATTAATCTCATAAATAGTATTGCTTTACACTTTATACAAAATGTCCAGTATAACAATATCAGCTGTTCGACCTAGGACAAGCATCCTAGATAAATCATTAAGTAAAGGTAAAGGAGAGGTTAGCTTGAGTTGTTTTGCTCTTCTTTTCTCAGAATTAGTTCAATACTGTCAAAACAGAGTATACACTGTTCCTGAACTACAAAACAAGTAATGATTTTTAAAACATTCATTAATATTAAATTCATTTTAAAAAGTAAAAATTTAATAAAAGATTTTATTGATAACATTGAAGATATCACACAAACCCATTATTTAAATTTACAGATTAGCTGAAATGGGAGCTGAAGTTGGACACAGAGTCACAGACTTATTAGTAGTTCGTGAGAAAAATGGTAAAAGAGAAATTAAATTACTCAACATCCTCCTATTTATAAAAAGTACTCTTTGGAAGTCTTTATTTGGTCGTGAAGCTGATAAATTGGAGCATGCAAATGATGATGAACGAACTTATTATATTATTGAAAAGGAATCATTAGTTAATAAATATGTGTCAGTTCCTAAAGACAAGGGAAGCTTGAATTGTGCATCTTTTGTTGCTGGAATAGTCGAAGCTGTTTTGTGTGATAGTGGATTTGTAAGTCCAATAATAAATTTAACATTTAATTGAAAAATTACAGTATTTTGACCAATTTGAATATTTTTTTATAGTCTGCAAAAGTGACAGCTCATTGGCATAAAGGAACTACTTATATGGTGAAGTTTGACGATGCTGTTATTGCTCGAGATAAACAATTTGATGAACGATAATTTTTGTTGAGATTTGTAAAAATTACTTTCTTTAATAAACAAGAATAGGTAATAAGTAATTTTATTTGGACTTAACATTAAAAGTATAATTACTATCTATCAAGTAATGACTATATAATTTCAATGTTACATTTTTATGTAAAACTGTAGGTAGGATATTACATTTCAAAAAGAATGTGTAATTCTAAATAAAAGTGGAAATGAATTATCAGTCATTCAATATAATTTGTAATTTTATTTTGTAAATGTATATTTTTGAAAGCTAAAATAATCAATACATTATTTATAAACCATAATTAATAATTATTTAGATTTATTTAAACATATTATCTACTTTATCTAGGATCAATTTAATTTTATATTTATATAAACTTTGCTTCTCTGTCTCTATAACTGATCAGACCAGTTCTGTATTTATTTTCCTTGTTATCCTAAAATTTGAATAATTAAAATTTCAGTACAATTGCAAAAAAGTTAACACGTTTATCAATGAATAAATTGAATAAATATAAAATGTTCACCCGATCACGCTTTAGGATGAAATAAAGAGATGCCCAAGATCCAAATACCAGACCAGTAAACCACAAGAAATTTTTTATCTTTGGTTTCCATACCTTTTCATACGAAAAGTATGCCGTGTACTGACGTTGAATTTGTGGATCAAACTAAAATATAAAATAATTAAAAATAGTAATAAATTTAAAAACTTTCATTTTTGTAATAGGTTCTATGAAATGTATTCATTTTTTTTAAATGAACTTGTAAAATAGAATTAGTAACCTTTAATACAAATCTTATTCAAAATGAACAAAAATAGAACATCAGAATTAAGTCAAACAGAATATTGTAAGATACATTATTCAATTAGATTACCTTCCTTAAAAATGTATTGTTATTGTTACTTCAAGAACTTAGAACGAAGTGCAAACATTTTTTATAAAGATTTGTGAAAGGTTGCTTAATCATTATTTAACTAATATCATTTTATTACTGAATGAAGTATTAAAATAGGTTAAATCATTAATTGCGCTGTAAAATTGATATTATTTATAATAGTAGAACTATTCTCATTTTGTTTAAATAGTTGTTAAATAATTAGATTATTGGTAGAATAAAAACCAAGAATATGAAAAATATATAAAAAAATGAAAACATCCTTAAAATGTTTCCGATTAATAGAGGTTATATTAGGAATATAACTTACTAAAGTTCCCTCAAATTTACAGTTTGGATTATGAACTTCTCTCAAGTACTCATTCCGTAATTGCAATCGTTTTTGAGCTCTCCATTCGATAATTTCTTTTTCTTTAGGAGTCAAATCATATATTTGTGCTGAAATTTTATCTTTACTCATTTTTATATTGATTCCGTTCAAAAAGAAAATTTGAGAAGATTCCGATACCAGACGACACTGCCAATATGCAGCACCAGGCAGCGCAGCAACAGCCAAGTATTTTTTAGATGCGCAGAAACAGAAAGCCGTGCGCAGATTTCGTTGCAGTTATATAATAAAATATGAATATGTTATCTGTATTCTTTAATTATTAATCACTTTAATAAAAATATGTATTATATGTATATATTTAAGATAAAATACAATAAATAATTCAATAAAACGACCGTGATTTGCGCAAAAAGTACCTGACCTCGATATTATAGTGTGTCTGTAGGTGGGAAAAGGCACTATATACAGATATAGTGGACGGACACTTTTAAGATCGATTTCTCGTTCACATTAAAAAAAATAGTTTTATTTAATTAACAAAACAAGAAAATAGAAATTTATAATAAATGCATTTTATCTTTAAATTACAATTTCATTGTTTACTATTTTCATTGGTATAATCATGAATGTTTTTTTAACTATGAATTGAACACTTTTTAATAAATTGTACAATAATTATAAAATTAATCAAATTATCAATCACTTTATTAACTAGAACTGAAAAGTGTTATTGTATCGGTACATAATTTGAAAAACAGAATAAAAACTTCATTTACTTATTCATCACTTTGATTTTCTAAGAAATTCCAATTCTAGCTTAAATAAAATATCAATAAATAAATAAGTTGGCTGTTATCAATTATTCTACTTTTCCAACTAAAAATTGTTATTTGATAGTACTTAATTATGGAAGGGAAATTCGAAATTTGTTCGCAACATGTTTTCTAAAGCGTGAATTATAAAAGATTTTTATTGGTCGAACAGTCAACCGAGTACTAAAAAGTCTTTAAATTGGAGATCTAGTAGTCAAACACATGTAAAAAAAAGTATTATCTTAATATATATGTGGGGATAAGAATTGAATATTTAATGCTCTTCTACAAATATACATATAAATTTTCAAAGTTAAAAACACGATTTTTTATTAATTTGAAATTGCGTCAGATTTTAGTGTAACATAAAAATAGTGTTTTCTAAGACACGTTATCATATTGAACTATTATTTGCAAAAACTATGAATTGTTAAAATTTTTAAAACACTTTTAATAGTGATTGACTTACCAATTTTTTTTATCATAAGATATCTAATAAAATAAATATTTAACATAAATCAGACCCAATCATAATCTATTCTACCTTTTACAAAACTTGAGTTTGTCAATTTGCTTGCTGTGATTGTTGTATGTAATGATATAAAAGTATCAGCCACTACTGCTGCCCAAAACAACATAAAATAAAATTTTTGTAATCTTTGTTGAAGACAATATCTGATCAGGGAATTTAACTGCCTTTCATAGCTCTTATTTTGGTTCTCTTTCCTGTCCTCGTTAAGTCAGTTTTCAAATGTCTTATGTTTTTAAATGGGTGTCCCAGGATATTCATCGCTTACATTATTAGCATTATCTGCCCAAGCACCTAAAAATAAATTCATTAACTTTATTTATTCAATGACAAGAACTAATAATTTATTCAATTTAATTATCTATTTAAAGAAGAACTCAAGTGATGGATATTGATCAACATTTTTAATAATTTCTAACTTGGATATAGCTCAGCAAGTATTCTCTCTGTTATTATACTTTGTACTACATTTGTTCTATCTAAACAGTCTACCCTATTGGAATTTCCCACATGGGATAGCACATGGTATCCCACATGGGAACCTACATGGGATCTTATGCGGGATCCCGAATGGGATTCCATGTGGGATCCTTTCCGGGAATTTGATAGGATTTCCCACATTGGATCCCACATGGGATCCCAAAAAATTCAGAAAATCTTCGCAATCCCACATGGGATTCCGCATGCGGAATTCGTGCGTCTTGTATGGCGTAGCCGATATGTCGCTTGTATAATCCTTTCCAAGTCGCTGCCATAGCTCCAGTAGGATCGATGGCGTTGCAGCGTTTTATTAAGAGAACTGTAAGAAGAATAATATTAATTGGAAGCAACTATTAACATAGTTAACTTTAGTAGAATAACAATATTCATGTGGTTGAAATAAACGCTTCAACAAGAACCTTAAATATTTCGACGCAGATTTTCGTTGTTTATTTCAACCACATGAATTGGCAAATAAATGTATTTTCTGTCGAGAATTACGCATTATCAAAGGTTATAAAAATATTGTTATTCTACTAAAGTTAACTATGTTAATAGTTGCTTCCAATTAATATTCTTCTTCTTACAGTTCTCTTAATAAAACGCTGCAACGCCATCGATCCTACTGGAGCTATGGCAGCGACTTGGAAAGGATTATACAAGCGACATATCGGCTACGCCATACAAGACGCACGAAATCCGCATGCGGAATCCCATGTGGGATTGCGAAGATTTTCTGAATTTTTTGGGATCCCATGTGGGATCCAATGTGGGAAATCCTATCAAATTCCCGGAAAGGATCCCACATGGAATCCCATTCGGGATCCCGCATAAGATCCCATGTAGGTTTCCATGTGGGATCCCATGTGGTATCCCATGTGGGAAATTACAATAGGGTATACAATTCATCCTGAAAATTCCATCTTGAACAGAAACCAATACATGTGTCTGAAGTTCGCAACGTTAAATTCCAACGAAAAAATAATTTGTCCAAAAATAATCAGTAACGTTTTCAATCGATGAATATAGTTGTAATAATGATATAAAACAAAAATACAAAGATCTAGATGGAAAACAATCATAAAAAACCACCCCCAAAAAAATCATTAATATTTCGCTGTATGGGAGTTCTGTATAGGTATAACCATTACCTTGTGCTACAAGCTATTTACATAAATTTTCTTATAGGAAACATAAAGTAGTGAAAATAATTATAATATGTTCCCTCAAGATCTTTTTCCCCATCCCTGAAAATCAAAACATTACCCATATAGACCAAATGTCAATACAGATTAAACAATGTTTTGATATTTTTATTCGATTAAAACATAAAAAATATTGAAGACATTCTTAACTGAACCTACGTCGTCATTGCCGACGCTCGGAAACATCAACTTCCCTCCCTACAGGGGATGAAAACTGCGCGTATTTCTCGATATTACCGGTTATTAATTATTTAAACAAAGTTTTGCTATTTTTATTTGCAATGTAATTATATAACACGGAAGGTTATGCTAATATAAACCTACGTTTGCTTTGCCGACGCTCGGAAACAACCACTTCCGTCCCTATAAGGGATGAAAACTGCGCGTATTTCTCGATGTTAACGGTTATTACTTATTTAAATAAGTAAAACCGCTTGTAAAGTTGTAAAGTTAAACAAAGTTTTGCTATTTTTATTCTCATGGCCATGTTCATCATGGGGTACATAAACTGCCATTTGTATGTTTTGCATGATTTTAATAACTCCTACTTCAAAAAGAGTACCGTACTCGAATATTTTTCTCATACTAATCTTATAATGATAAGCATCCATATAATTAATCTTCGGATTAGAATAAAGTGCCTGGGAAGAAAATTTTTACCAGTTGATGTATCCATGATCAACAATCTGTTATCGTATTTTTATATGGTGTGTTTCTTCACCGTACAGATAAACGGATAAACACCGAAATAGACAATTGCCGTCACCGATGACATCGATAATTTGAAACATATTATTCCCATCAGAAACTACATCTCCAGTAGTTACTCGTTTCTTCGTTTTTACGAGACTTTCTTTCAAATCGCTGAGTTTTTCCATATTATACTTATCTTTAATAGAACTACTCGATTTTCTAATCTTCTCATTAAAAACAAATTTTTCGTTTTCATTCGTTTTCTTCATTTTTAGAGCTTGTTGCTTCGGTAAGGGATTTGTTTTACACTCTTTAGCGAATTCCAATTTCATCTCTTGCACACTTTGCTGAAACACACTTTTCTTAGATATATTTACTTCTAATACGTCTTCCTCTACAATTAGCCTACTTAAATCAAATTTTCGTTCATCAGGAATTGTATTTTCTTCAATTAACTTATTGAAACTTGGCACAGCTGGTTCATTTACAATACTTTCTATTAAATTCTGGGATTTTAATTCTATGTTCGTCTTATTTTTTAACTTACCTTTCCCCAATTTCTCTTACCTTGTTCCCCAATTCGGAATTCCCACCATTCCATATGTATAGCTTAATTTAGTTTAAAAGCCATGTCCACTTTTCTCTTTAGAGCCTTACATATCTACATTTGAAATTAAAACAGGTAAAAGGTAATTTTAATAATATAGCCTAAAAGCATTATTAATTATAAAGATTACAAGCCTTGGTGAAATGGAAAAATAAGTCACTAACATAACGCATATATAATTACATTAGAATTTCGTTCGGACCGTCGTTGATGTAAGACATATCTACCTGCGAGTACCGATGAGTACACCATCTCTTTTTATTACGAAATAAGCCATCTATTTCAGTTATGAGTGAGATGAACTAGTAGAATCTTCAATCTGTGCTATTGTATTTTTCAACATTTGTAATAAAAATAAAAAATTTCGTACTAGATATTCTGATTATTTAAATTTTGCAACTGTATCACAATAAACTTTCTCCAATGGTGCTTTCAGTCCTTTACAGTCAATATGTTTGAATTAATTTGACACATAAATAGTAGAACTGTAATAAGATTATTATTTTTATTTATTACCAACTTTCTTATATTTTAAAAAATTGATTAATATTTACTTTTCATAGCAGAAAACTTAACTCTTGAAGTTATAAGCACAAGCAATTAAATGATTTTCATTTGGAATAAGCTGTAGTTTGGGGTTGTATTCTAAATTTTACTACCAAAAAAATGGGATTTCCTACCATTAGCTTCTATAATCTGTTCTGTTTCTGAAATAAAATAATATTATTAACAAAGTATCTGAACTTTGATCAACATAGACAATTGATAGACGCTTGATTTACAAAAAAAATATTTGAAAAAACTTATCTAATAGAAGTTATACTCACTCCGCAGTTCTAAGGTTGCCACTTTTTGACAAATAAATTTTACATTTGCGCCAAAAATTGTTGAAATTATCGAATTGAACAATAATATTTATCGTGAGAATTAACCTCCATTTCAAAATGAATACTATATAACTTATAAATGAATATAATAAATGAATACAGGAGTTTGCCAGAGCTATGGCGAATAAGAGACTCTGCGGCCAGCGCGTCAAAAAGTGTTCGTGTCGACTGCTCCAGCTCGTCAGAAAGTTGCGCAGGGCTGGGCAAATCTGGAAGATCGAGATTCTCAAAAAACTTCCTGCAGTTAACTTCAGAGAGTTTGAGTTGAATAGACCTTATGTGAAGCGAGAGTGAAAATTGTGAAGTCTGAAGTAAACTGCAGGAAGCTTTTTGAGAATCTCTTCCAGAATTACCCAACCCTGGGATAATGAGATCTCTTCCAGATTTGTGTGTGCCCAGCCCCAACCCTGAAATTGCAAGGTCAGCACCGTCGGCTGAGCTGAGAAAGTGGTGTCGTCTGGTGGGAGAGCAACATGACTGAGCGGAGGCGCCACGACTACACCCCCTCTGGAGGTTACCGGGTTTAACAGTAACCCTGAAAATGAGTTGGTTGGTTGGTCCTTTGCCGTACAGGAGTCAGGTGGCGAGAAGCGTACTTATCGTGTCCGGTTTGCCAGCTGTCTGCGAAAGGATATTCGAAAGGTTCAGTATCGGAAACGTAGCCTACTACCAGCAGAGAGGTTGAAGTGGTGGCGGAATTTCTGTCTGCGTCAATGATGTATTTAAAGTCATCGATACGTTGTATCACTTTATGTGGGCCTGTGTAAGGAGAAGTTAACAGGAGTTTGAATCCACTACCTTAAAAACACGTGAGCAGGTGCGTAGGTTCTGGTGAAAGAAAGCCTTGGGTTTAATGTGGTGGGCCGTCTGAGAGGGCTGCGAGGTCCGGAATGAGTTACACAACGCATTGAGAAAGGAGCCAGGTGAGACAGGCAAAATATTTGAAATTCCTCATTGAAGGTAGAACGATGATGTCTAGATGAATGTGATTGAAGCGTGCTTCCGAAATTTCGATGTGGTTGGGCTGGTTGCGCGTGTGCCTGTGGAGCATAAAAATTAGTGACATTAGTGACAATGGAACTTTTTTTTATTTACTGTGCCAAAAACAAAATCCGGTATCCAGCGGTCTTTTACTGTAACAGAAGATTTTTACTTGTAAAAAGTACATTGCGGGAAGGCCAGATGATATTAACCCATTAAAGCCCACGCTAAGATTGGTTGAGATAGCGACAAACAAACTGTGCTATCTTTTGCATAAGTGAAAAATAAAATATACGTATTTTTTTTATGTTATTTTCAATTGTTTATAACAAATTATTTAAACAAATTACAAAAAAATTCATAATTATCAAAATCTAAATGCGGGAATCGATTCTGGAGGTGAAATCAATACGAAAACCTATATAACACTTTTTTGTCAGAATTCAATTTGTTAGTGTAACGTAGGAATAAACAATTGCATGTTGGGGAGAAAAAGTGACCATGTCAAGTCCCAAGCAAAATCTATCTGGAATAGCAAAAAATAAACTGTGCTATCCTTTGTATAAGTGAAAAATAAAATATATATATTTTTTCTTATGTCATTTGCAATTGTTTATAACAAATTATTTAAACAAATTACAAAAAAATTCATAATTTTCAAAATCTGAATGCGGAAATCGATTCGGGGGATAAAATTGAGATGAAAACCTATATAACACTTTTTTGTCAGAGTTCAATTTGATATCTTTATGTAGAAATAAACTATTGACAAATAAGTGTTTTCATTCTCACACATGGTATCTGGAATCATATCAGTATTTTTTACTGATAAATTTTGAGATCTTATACTGTAATTGGATAAGTTTATTTCATTTCGTAAATCCTTCCGTGTTAGAGATCACGTTTGAGTGGCGGGCTAACGGTTGAAAACATTTATACATTGGATCTATTCTTTGAAATAATAATTTCGGAAAACTTTTAGTTTTTATTTTGTTCTAAATTGGTAACGTTACTGATAATGCCGAGACGGAGAATTAGCGATCTACCAAATTTAGTTGAAGATTCTGATAGTGATGAAGGTCAACATATTGATATAGCATTCATTCCTAATGAATATGAAAGTTCAGATGGAGATTCGGACGGTGATCCAAATGAAGATACATTATCAAATGAATTACCATCAGGTTCTTACGAACATGTTAAAAGTACATACACAAGTACTCAGAAATTGTTGGAACCGAATCATAAGTACAGTTGGAAAAATGATGCTTTGAATGATATTTCTCCGCATGTCGAGAGCAACTTCAATATTTCACCTATTTCATCATTGCAATCCAAAAATGCTTTTGAGTTGTTTGAGGTTTTCTTTTCGAAATCAATGAAAAACCATATCATTGAAGCCACTTCTGAAAATCATTTTGATTTATGTATGGATGATCTAGAAAAATTTATTACAATCATAATGATTACTATCTTCAATTCTAGAAAAAGTATTCGTGATTACTGGTCAAAAAAGCGAATACTTCAGTGTCCAGTAATTGCGGAACTTATGTCTAGAAATAATTTCGTTGCCATAAAAAAGAACATACGATTCTATAAACTTCAAGAAACTGATCAAAATGATAAAGTCTGGAAGGTTAGAACTCTGTATGATATGTTTCGTGAGAATTGTATGCAATTTGGTTTCTTTGACTATAATTTATCAATAGATGAGATAATGGTAAAATACTTTGGTAGGTTTGGTATCAAGCAATGTATAAGGAATAAACCCATTAGATTTGGAATAAAAGAATGGGCAGTCTGTTCTTCTGATGGGTATATATATGATCTTGATATTTACACTGGTAAATCAGGAATCGATGAACGAAATCCTTTAGTTGCCGTTGGTTTAGGGTCTAGAGTGGTGATAAAGTTACTTTCGAATTTATTAGAAAAAACACAGAGAGAAGAACTGAAAAAGTATCATATTTATTTTGACAACTTTTTCACAAACCCAGATCTTATGATTCATTTGAAAAAAAATGGTTTATCGGCGACAGGAACTGTTCGGCATAATCGTGTGAAAGTGAAAGTCGAAATGCCAAAAAAAGCTAAAAGAGGATACACTATTTCAATGCATGAAGTGAATTCAAAATTGAATTATATTACAGTTATGGACTCAAAGCCAGTATCGATTCTCTCTTCGAAATATGGAAATGAACCAAAAGTTGAAATGCAGAGATGGCAGGAATCATCGAAAAAATCTATTCTTTTTCCTCATTGTTTCTCTATGTATAATGAACACATGGGTGGCGTCGATCTACATGATCAACACTGTAATGCTTTGATGCCTACAATTCGAAGTAAGAAATGGACATGGTGCCTTGTATTACGGCTCATCCAAGCATCCTTAGCAAACGCTACAGTGATTTACAATAAGTTACATCCAGACGAAAGAAAAGGTTCCAAAGATATTGTTCAAGAAGTTTGTGAATATTATATTGACAAGTTATCTTCCAAACGTCCCCCCAAACGACAGAAACAGAGTGAAACTTCATCCCAAGAACACGTGATGAAACATGGGAGTCTTAGGAAATGTGGAATTTCAACATGTCGGACAAGAACGGAATGGTATTGTGAGAAATGTTCTATGCCTGTTTGCAAAAGTCATAAAGAAGGACATGGCAATGAACAATAATTCAATCCCACTGATTATATTTACAATAATTCATGCCAATATTGATGGATAAATACAATAATTAGCTTCATTTTATACGATTTTTTGAAACACTCTCAGGAGGCCGAATGTTTCTTCCTTCATTACAATAACTAATTGGCCTCTGACAGAAAAGTGTTATATAGGTTTTCGTCTAAACTTTACCCCCAGAATCGATTTCCGCATTCAGATTTTGAAAATTATAAATTTTTTTATAATTTGTTTAAATAATTTGTTATAAACAATTGAAAATAACATAAAAAAAAATACGTATATTTTATTTTTCACTTATGCAAAAGATAGCACAGTTTGTTTGTCGCTATCTCAACCAGTCTTAGCGTGGGCTTTAATGGGTTAAGTGCAATCGATTGTTTTTATTATACAGAAAAGGAATATTCTGTAATCAACCACTTGGTATAAACACTATTGGTAGGATGCCTTCAGAAATTGCAAAATTTTTAGGCCTTAATGATTCTCAATTATACACCGGCCATTCTTTACGAAGGACTTCCGCAACTTTGTTTGCAGATGCTGTAACTGACATAACAACGCTGAAAAGACACGGTGGATGGAAGAGTATTATTGTCGCTGAGGGCTACATCGAGGATTTAGTCTCAAATAAAAGAAAAATAGGACAGCAAATTGAAGGAAATGTCTCGATCAATTCAAAAAATCGCATCGAACATAAAGTGGAAATTCACCAAGAACCAGGCTCTTCGCACAACATTCAAGGGGTAGCTAAACGCAGGAAAACTGACGAAGATGTTATTTATCATGAAGAGGTCCCTGCAGATGCAGATAACACTAGTGCAGTAGATATAGAGCAGTTGAATTTTGAAGATCTGATCGAGGAACCAGAAAACTGTGAGAATTTTGCCAACGTAGAAAATAATTTGAGAGTAATCAATGTGCTATTAGAGAAAAATAAAAATACAACATTAGTTTTTAACAATTGCAATAATATAACTATAAATTTCAATGTAAAATCATAGTTTTATAAGACTTATAAAAGCCTGTTAAATGTTTTTTTATTTACTTACTTCAAAAATGTATAGCTGATTTAATTATTTTATAGAATAAATTTAATAAAATATAAATTAAAAGATTTTTTTTATTAAAAAAACCTTTAATCTTAAAAAGTGCTAATTACTCATACTCGTACTTTCTATTGTTTCTAGCACGGAGGCACTCACTCGAGTTCCTAAAATATTTCTTTTTGGAAAATGGATTCTCAACTACATTTTCCTTTTTTTTGCCATTAAATTCTTGTATATCTTTTGACGATTTTTCTTTCAATAATTTTCAAATCGAGGGCCTGCCGCCTCTCCCGATCCTTCCCCCGTTCCCCACATCATGCCTTCTTCATACATTTTTCTTAGCAGACAACCGTCCGAACTTCCCGCATCTTGTGTAAAAAAATAGTGTACGATACGTGTGCGTAAAGTAGGCGATCATTCTCACGCGTGCAGGAATCGCCTACTTCCCGCACTTGTATCGTAATGTAATATTCTGCAGCTGAGCAATTGTGGCGACGAATTAATTAATTGAACCAAGTAATAAAAAGTAATGCAAACTTAAATTAATGGATATTTTTATCTTCATTAAGGTATCGACTTCAAGCCACATCATTCGAATAGATATTCAAGTTTCATAGTTTCCGAAAAAAAAATTCATTAAAATTTGTAATTTAACTCGTGAAACCGATGGCTTGCAATTATCTGAAAAGCTTCACGTGTTAAATTGCAAATGTTAATGAATTTTTTTCTCGGAAACTGTGCCACCTAATAAAAAAAAATTATAAAAACGCTTTTGACTCAAAATTTTGTGCTCTTTAACAATTCAAGGTCAAAAGTAGGGGTTCCTATTAAAAAAAAACCAAGTTGACTTTAAGATGCCCTTGAAAATCATTTCCAAGGTCAAATTAGAAGTCACCGCTGAAATCCTTGACTGATTTACTGAAATTTTGTATGTTTCATATTTTCCGATATAGTTGCTCGCACGCCATTACAAGGACTTGTACAATTTAACGGTAAATTCGGTTGCAATTTGTGCTATCAGTCAGGTATATCGATTAAACATGACAAAAGAAAAGTTATCAAATATCCGCTATGAAATTATTTACTGGAAAAACGAACGCATGTTGATTTTTGGAATGACTTAAGGATAACTCTTTCGTGTTCCTCCGGTATAAAAGGAAAAGCTGCTTTGATAGATTCTCATTGCTTTGATATTATTGATGGCTTTGTGCCGGATGACTTGCATGTTAAATTAGGAATTGAGAGACAATTTTTGCATCAACGGCAGCCTTATGCAATCAAAGAACATGTCGAAGATGTAAACAAAATGCTACAAAATATGCAAGATCCCGAACAAATAGGTCGATTAACTCGTACGTTAAAAGATAAAAATCACGGGAAAGTTCTAAAACATGAAAATTGGATATCCTATTTGAGTTAACCTATATTGAAAACTATTCCTAATTTTAAGAAATATCGAAAAAATTGGAAGTTACTTCCTGAAGCCGTTGATATTATGAAGAGCAAAATTATAATGCTGGATGACTTAGATAAAATTAATGATTTGAAGATCAATTTCGTTTTACTCGTAGAAAAATATTATTCGACAAAATTTATGACCTATTATGTACACTAAATTTCGCACACGCTGAAAATGTTAAAAATTAGGGACCAATTTTTGTATATGATGGTTATTCATTCGAATCAGGGAATGGCAAAATCTTGCGCATGGTTAAGGGGACCAAAGGCATAATTTATCAAATCTACCGAAGTATCGAATATTAGGACAACGCGTCTATTTAAAAAAAATATAAAACAAAAGAAAGTTATTTTCTGACCACAGGAGCTTCATTATACGGATGGAGGATTCAATTCACTCTGATCCTACATCATTTTTCAAATACGCACATCGTAACAAAAGTCATTGTTGTTATATAGATAGTCTGGATGAGACTACGGCTACTCATAGTCTCGATATTGCAAATCTTTTTGCTATGCGTTTTTCTTCTGATTTTTTCTCACTTCCTGCATAGGTGGTCTTACTAAACCGATGTTTGATTCGTAATCTCTCTCATGACTGCAATTTACTTATGATGATATCAAATATGCCTTTTCTAACATGAAACAATCCTCTAGTGCTGGTCCCAATGAAATTCCTTCACTCTTCAACCTTAATTACCAAAATAGTTTAATTGTAGCATTACTTACAATATTCAACTTTTCTCTTCTAAAAGGTTGCTTTCTATTTATTTGGAAGCAAGCTTAATCGATTCCAGACTTCAAAAAACGTGGTAATAAGCGTAATATTCTGAATTATCGCCCAATAGCAAAGCTAAATGCCCTTTCGAAACTATTTGATTACCTTGTCTCCGTCAAATTATCACCTTTTCTTTTCCAAATTATTAATCCCTTACAACATGGCTTTATTCCGAATTGTTCTACTATTCTACTATACTCTTACTAAATTTTTTGAATTTATTTGTTATTATATTTCTATAGGAAACTTAAAGACCATTGTAAAACCGTAGATATTATGCTAAAATTAGTCATATTAGCTGCCTTAATCAATTAATTAATTTTAAGTTTATATATTTATTCTATTATGTATTTTTATTGTTACACTGTATACTGTTAGAAATTTATTTGCGTATAATTTTTATTTTTATTATTGTTTCTATTATTTTTTCTGTTTAGTAAGTAATTTATGTAAGTAATATATATAATTTTTTAAATAGGAGTATTCTTCTGTAAAACTATAAAAAGAACAAAAACAAAAAAAAATAATGAGTAAACCGTATGTATAAATACGAAAGATATTTCTAATATTGCAGTTTATATTGAAACAGTGACGGATAAAGATCGAGTTCAATACATCACTGCGGTACCAAATATATTGAAACATTAAGCCATATTAAACATTTATGGTTAAGTGAAATAATTAGCAGCAATGCAGTTGTTTGATGATATATGTTTTAATTTTTGACGGCGTTTTTTTGCATCAATTATAAGTATGAAATTCTTACTTTAATGAATAAAGTTAAATAATACTTTCTTGCTTGTGTTGGTCATTCTTAATTTATTTTTGTTATTTACTGCACTCAAATTATAAAAATCATAACAATATTGCTTCGACGGCTTATGAAACTTTTACGGTTGTTATGATAAAATTGTATGAAATTCATACAAATTTCGTATGAAAAATTCGGACAATGTAGGTGAGAAATTCGTATGAATTTTATGTCGATTTTATACAAATTTGATGCCAATTACGAATGAATGTTTTTTTTGTGAATTTTTTTATAAATTTAGTAAGAAATTGGTACAAACTTTTTAATAGGGTTATCTTTTTAAATTGTCGTTAAAAATTTATAAATCTATTTAATATTATTTTTAATAGTTATTGTTTGATAGGATATTATACAAACAGTGATTAATAAGTAGTTGATTAATCGCAAAATTGGAGCAGACCATCTTCCTGCTTCCCAGCTGATCGGCCACGCATGCGCGTCGACCAGTTATACCCGGGAGTCTCAGCTAAGAGACCCACCGCCATCCGAAATAGCATAACTGAACAACGAACCAGAAAATTAGATTGTTATTATTTTCCACTTACATTGATAATTTCGAAAAAGTAAGGCTGGCGCAATTAAGATCAGCGAAAGTGCAGTTTTTTCTGTTACATTACTTTTAAAAAATATTAACTATTTTTGAAGTTATCGCAGTTGCAAAGAAGCTAGAAACAACCATTAGTTTTTTATTTTTTCTGAAATAATTAGAAGGGTGCAATTAAAACCAAAAGAATATTTAAAGTGTTCAATTAAAGGTACATTGAAGAGTATTTCTTTTTGTCACTTTAGCTATTACTTGCAAGCCGAGGTGGGTGAATTAACCTATTATTGTAAGTAGTCACTCATACGTGTATAGTATCTCACATCTACATATCATAATCTCCCTAATTTTAAGGCAAGGAAAATCCTATAGTTTGAGATGAGTAAATATTATTATATCGCAATATTAAGTATACTTTTAGAATCCAGCATTGCGATACATTGAACATTCAGTGCAAGTGTTTTCAACTATATGTGAAGTGAATCTTTATTTGGAAAGTATTATATGAATATTATAAAAAACATCGTGAGTTAATACATAAGTTTTAATATTTAGTCGATAATATATATAATGAAATGGTATCATAAATCTTTATTACATTAAAATAAATAAAAACACATCTTCAATAAGTAGATACTTTTTTTTTCCAATATATTATTTGTTAATTGTTGTTATTTCAAATACAGCGTTCATGTGGAACGTTATATCTCTACCGAATATATTCTAGGATATTTAAGAACTACTATATTTTGTTTAATTTACAATTATTTAAACAAATTAATAACATAAAAAATAAAAGATTATGATGGTAGATAAAAGAGCTTATAAGATGAAAAGATCTTATAAAAATTTTCTCTAAAATGTAAACTTTCAAAGTTCTTTGTTTTTTAAACTTGAAATTATTGCATTTAACTTTACATATTAATAACTTTTTTAAACGTTTAATAATTTTCAAAATTGATCAAACTAGCTGATAACTTAGGATACCCTCTATAAATTAATATTTTTCAAGTTTAGTTAACAATAATCTAATTAATTTACATATATAAAGCAGTAAGTAAGAATAGTATCAAATCAATATAACATAAATTGTTAATATTAATGAGAAGAGATATTTTATTATTAGATTCATATTCATCTGTTAACAATAAATGTGTTACATACGTTTTACATGCAATTATAACAATAGAAGATATTAACTGTTAAAAAAAACTTGATATAAGGCCGTTTCCGAAAAAAAACGAAATAAATTTAAAAACTCCAGTTTTTTTCATAGTTCCATTTAGACTTAAAGAAAAATAATTGCAAATTTGGATTCCTGAAGGTCGGAAACTCCTCGGCATAATATGTTAGTAGAATTTTCGCGACATTTTTTAAATGCAGATCTTTATTTGACTGTATTCATTAATTGCATCATATATTGTTATAAAAAATGAATCTGTTCTGAACTCATTTTATTATCCTATTTTCTTTGTAGTATGCAATGCTTTTCCGTTTGTCAAAATATCAAACTTCAGTTTAAATTTGTTAATTAATTTGTAGCTATTTATTCAAAATGTGACTATTAATTTTATTATAAAATGTATTATAAATTATAAAAATCCAGTAGATTTCGTTATTAAAATAAAAAACTAAAAAGTATTTTATATTAAATATTTAAAAATTCCATATTCAACTTCTTAAAGTTATTGAGTAAAAGCCTCCCTTGTAGTAAGTCAGCTCAAACGAAAATCGCATTCGACTCCATCGGTTTCGCTTTTGGGTTTCTATATAAAAAAATTGCAATTTTAGCAGAACTAACAATTGTTTTTAAAAGTTAAATTGGTTTTTTTTTATCCGCATTAGTAGAAATATATATAAAATACCAGCGGTTATAGCGTAAATTTAATACTTACATTCACGTCAATACACTGTAATACATATCTAGGCGTATTTAAAGGTTTGAGAGGGTTTGTTATAAATGTCCTTTATTGTATTACATTATTATTAGAAGTCAGTGGGTAAAAAACTCTGGCTTCTGCGCAAGAGGTCGTAGGTTCAAGCCCCAGGTATGTGAGGATTTTCAGAATGAAATTTTCTTATGTTCAAACCGTGGTTGTTGTGATTCGGGCTCCACCTTAAACTGTATATCCAGTCATGATGCGTATAAAATTTTTTCTACAATAAATGGTGGGTCCTACTTACTCCTGATTATTTTACCAGGAACCAAGACTAATGATGCGTACAGGTACCTACTGTACCTTTGTAGCTCTCCACGTGTACATAGTTGAAGTTACAATAACAATAATATCAATATTACAGCGTAAATACCTTTGGCAATCACTTTGTTTACTTATTAAACAAAGTAAATATTACTTTACAATATGTAATGCAAAAGTAAATTTTTTTCTTTATTTTTCAATTCAATCAAGTGCAGTGAAGCTTATTGTCACTATTACGGAACCTTTCTTCATACTAATTAATAATAGTTTAGCTGGAAAAAATATTTAAATAATTATTCGGATAATAATCTTAGAATTTGATTTTGTCTAATTATTTATTTTTGTTCAGTAAGCAATAATTTTTTTAAGTAAATGTTTATTATTAGGATAGGTACAATCTAAATATGGAGTCAGGTAAAAATTTGAGGATTTATTAGAAACATTACATTGTCCTTTCACATGGGATATGGATGATGTAGATACAACTATATCTACAGATTATAAACCCCACGATGAAGAAGAATTTAGTCCATTATTAAAACTGCTGCGTATAGTTATGTTAGTATACGAAAATCCAAAGGAAATGAACATGCAGACAGTATTATACACAATCTGGAAAAATGTGATGAAATTATGATCGCAGTATTAGAGGAGTAAGAAATAAATTATATAATGTTTTTAATTTTATATTTAAGAAAGATAATCAAGCCCTGAAATTGTATTCTAGTTTAAAAACAATTCGTAATTTGTATTTATAATACATTGATAAAAAACATTATTATAAAGTTTACTTTTTTACTTTTAGGAAATATATATCGTAAAAAATAGCTCAAGGTGAAAGTATCAAGATAAAAAACGTCACTAATTGCGTATAAGTAGGGTAGATTACTCTTTGAAATATTTTTAAAGAAAGGATACAAATAATAGTTGTACACCTGTAACATAAATGTGAAAAACAAAAAAACTTTAAAATGATAATTAAATATATATAAGTAATGACATAAGGTATTCTATTATTAAAATTGGATTTTTGGGTTATGAAGATAGTTGCTTATCAAATCTACTAGATTGGTTTTTTAAAAACTCAAATATTCTATCGGAAATATACTACAAATTCGTAAATTATTAAACTTTTACTTAAAATTTCCCTCGATATAATTTAATAATATATTTTAATAATATATACTTTGTTGAATAATCTAATATTTCAACTGATTATTTTAACTAGTTTTTGATCAACATATGCTAAAAAAATTATTGAATATAAAAAACGTAGTTTAAAAAAATGGTAGCTTAAGGTTTAATGTATAAAATAAATGTTTGAAACTCAATCACTTCATAAAGTGTGAATAATTAGTACTATAAGTTTCATTATGTTATAAACGTTTTATATAAATATTAGATAAATGGAATACGTATAATCAAATAATGAAATAAGAAACTATTATACATTAAAATTGGTTTATTGGGGTATTAAGATCTAATAGCTTATGCAACCGGAGTCACATCAAGTTATATTTAAGAGGTAGAGACATTTTTTATAATTTTTCTCGCAAGCTAATGAATGTACAATTAATGGGCTTCAACTGGTATTTAGCATAAATAAATAAATAATTCTTATTAATTAAATTTCTTAATTACATTAATTCTAAAGAAAAACAATATATTTGTAACATTGTCATAATTATTACTGTACGCTAATTTTACTAATAATGACTCTCCGTAAAGCTACGTGTTCATTTTTAAATTTAGAATTGTAAGAACTTCAATTATAGCTTACCAGAACCTTTAAAACTTAGTACCCTATTTGTTTATACCATTAGGATTGTTAATGCTTTAAAATTCATATGTGAAAATTCATGTATGAATTTTCAAACATTTCTTTTTAAGTTATTGCCAATGCTACTTTATTTCTATATGGCATATAAGAGTGCCGAAAGATAATTTAATATTGCAATGTAAATGTGATAACTGTATCATTAAGAATGATTAATATTTGTTGAAATTTCATTTTTTAAGATCAAATCCTCAATTCTCAACAAAAGCTGTATATCATATAGTACGAGCAACTCAATGCCATATTCTCTGGAATTTGGGCGAGAAAATACAAGCAAAAGATATTTTTGCGAAAATTGAAATATTTGAAACTATGCAGAAAAAAGAACGAAGCACCATTAATGCCTGCAGAAGTATTTGCTGGTCACAGTATCACTTATTGGGAAGCGAAGAAGCTGTTAAATACATACGTAAAGCTTTGACAGATAATCCAAACTGTGCCCTATGGTATTTCATCTTAGGCAAAAACTTGCGTAGAATAAGACGGGACTCATCGGTTTGGGTTTTACCATCGGAAGAAGAAGTAGATGCCTTTCTCAAAGCCAAACAAACATCAAAGAACGTACTTTTCGATGTTTTTGTTGCTCAAATGTATAGAGAGCAGCGAAAGTCTAAACTTGCGTTGCAAATGTATAAAGAAGTACTTTTGAGTGAGCCAAAGAGTAACACAATACTCTTACGACTTGCACTAGGTTTCATGCAGCTATGCAAGCTGCCTTTATCTAAACAATGCCTCGATAAAGTGGCTTTAACGGACTCCGACAACTGTATGTATTTACATTACAGAGGACGCTATTGGATTAAAAAGAAAAAATTAAAGGTAAAAATTTGCAAATGATATTCTATGATACTATATTTAAGAAAAATGTTAACATTACTGCTATTTGTAGAAAGCATTGCAGTATTTTAAACGAGCTGCCGATATGGGTGATATTCTTGCTGCCAAAGAGTACCTCCGATATATTGTTACGCTAAATTCTTCATTTAATGTGATAGATTATTTAATAAATATAATAGAAATAAACAAAAATTTGCCAGAAAAGCAAATACAAGGCTTAGTTATAGAAGTGGCTCATCAATACTGGAAGATCCACGATACAAAGAGAGCTCTAAAATATTATCTGCTTGCCATAGAAATCGACCCGAAAAGTCAAACGCTAACTGTAAGACATCATTTCTGCCTTTATGACAACGATAACATATTTGACAATTATTATCTTGATATAAAAAGTATGACGTATAAAAATAAAACAAATCGTCATTATAGGAACATTACTCGATATTTCAGTCAGAGAAAAGTGAAAATATTTATGATTTACTCGAAAAAGAAATTCTACCCGCGGTTAAAGGAAATTCAAAGTCTCTTGACGAGGACACCTTAGAAATGCTTGATGACTTGGAAAATTACTATGATAAAGACATGACAAAGAAAATTCAGTCGAAGCAGAAAGCTCTGTGAAATAAAGACTAAATTTTTATTACTGGACCAAACATTCAATGCCAATATTATATACATGATGTTAAAAATTTCACTTTTATGAAAATAGTATTTTATTTTTCGTGTTAAATGAAAAGCATTATTTTCAATAACATGAAATTTTTATATATTTTATATAGAATTTCAATATGTAATTCATGATACAACTATTAATAAACAGTAGAATAATATATTTAAAGTATCTTATAGAAACATTATTATACTTAAACAGTCCACAATTACTATATTGTTCTTATTATTCTATTGGTGTAAAAAGACGGTGAATTCAATTTTATTCGCCAAGTGAAATCACATTAATATAAAGGAAATAGAAGCGGATGTGTAAAATATAGACAAAAAAGTGTTTTTTCGCACGTTTACAGCTTCGCTGTTACAGACAAAAACAACAGTTTAAAGACGTTTCTTTAGAACTCAACAGTTTCGTAAGGCAAGAGAGAAAAAGGCACTGTGATGAGGTCTGGTGTTAAATAATCTACGGATGTGCTAGCAAGGGTTATGGTATCTTGGTACGATCTTCCTGATAGAAAGGGAATATATGTAAGTGACTTGCTATTTCTCTTATTACAATTCTAATTGGAATTAGAATGCGTAACGTGCTCAATAATGTCTGTAACACTTGTTTAGAAACCTCAGCTTTACTTCATTTAAATTAAATTAATGACTTTCACGAATCACATTTGTATACGGAATATTCTGACTGAATGTTTTCATGTTGTTAAATTGTTTCTCAATTCATACACATTTTAATACGACTTTTATTTAGATTTAATGTACTATTAAATTTGCCTCATTTTACATTGAAATTAACAAATCCTAATTAAAATTCATTATTTCTTTATTTTGATAGCCCTGGTAGATATGATAAATCATCAAGAGTCCACTTGCGTAAATTTAAAAATAATTGAGTTTAGAAGGTGCTGACATATTTTAAAAGCAAATATACATTACTTTAATCTTTAGAATATTAAAAGCTCGAATACACAAATTGATCTAAAGTTTACTCGGCACAATTGAGCTTTTACAAAAGGTGTGTGATATTAAACTGCATGTTTTCGAAGAAAGGAACTACCGGAAACTTTGACTTTCTACTGACAGGTATATGCTAAAATGCGCACAGAATCAGTCTAGCCATTGAAACTTTATAGACGTTCAAAAAACACAACTCTATATAGAAGTAACGATCGTCATTAAATGGGTAACACCTCCCGTTCAAATTGACGGACTTCTAGAAGCAGTTAGATAACGATCAAAGAAAAGTCTAAGAAAGTTGTTCGCCGAAAAGTACAATTACGGGCTTGTTGCCGCTGTCAGTACCTTTATTGGTACTTCCGTTCTCATAGAAAAAAGTGTTGAGTATCGAGAGCAACACATTTTAATGGGCCCAATAAAAAATTTATTGTGATCATTGGAGCAAGAGGTGGCTAGACTAGCATTCCTCACCGAAGTTATTAGAATGTAAGTACCGAGCCTGCTGACAGAGCAAGGTAGGGCACTGCGAACAGATCGAGCAGTCTCTTATAATATTTTTAGTGCGTCGCGTGCTCGCGACTCCTTTCACGTTGCAATGATCCATTCGGCAACGGCTCCACAAGTGCCGCAGCAGCTGTCGTGCGACTGCGAAGCTCGCGCGCCTCATTCCATCACGTGCATCATTTCATTCACGCAGCAGCTGTATTGTAACGGCGTCGCGTTTTAACCTTCGAACTTATCCGCGAGTTAAAAGCCGAGTTATGCTGCGACGCCATTATACTTTCGAGTGATTTCAGCATATGACGAAGTCTCATCGGAAACTAGTTTGCAGAACCGTTACTTTTATACATCCATTTTTCAAAATGACACGCCTGCTATGCCTGCTGCTGCATCCTACACTACCGGTATTCTCCCGATTAGATTTTTTATTTATGTTTCGTTCGACCGTCGATTCGCCTTAATAACGCGGAGCTTTTCCCGGCGCGGCTCACATTAACAGTTTCATTAGCACTAGCGCGTGCTTTCTCTTTACAAAGTCTCGCGTCATACGTCGTCTACTTGTCGTTTACTGCCAATCAAGTAAACAAGAATTATTATTCCAATTTAGTGATCGGCACCCGCGACGGTCTAACTACAGTTAAGGTTTTTCACTGTGATCGAATCGCTTGCAAAAACTAACCATAAGGACAATATTTCCTATTGTTAATGTTTTTCTTTCTTTCTGACTTTTCCTCAGTTAGGATTTGTCGACTTTTCTGAACTCTCATTACGCGTATTTATCATTTGCATATTATAATAATGTATGTTTGTTTTTAATAGAAATAGCATAAATGCAAGATTTATGCATCTTAGACGTCATCAAGTTAAAAAGTGAGTTCCTAGTTTGATTGACAATGTGACTTTCGATGAGTCCAAAATTTCATTTGATACTAGAATAAATCAAGTGGAAGTGTGAGGTCTAATTTGATCGATTGGTGAATGGCATCTGAGTATACACCTGTACAATGAATGATCATGAATAAGGACGATACAAGAAACAAAGCAAGTCATTAGCGTAAAAAACCAAAAGGATACGTAGGTAGCTGTTCTGGAGTGGGTCAGAGGGTAAATGTAATACTATCGTTCGAAGAAAGAACATCTTCCGTGAGTATTGGCAGGCCTTATTGATATTCCCTTGTTTGTTTAAAGATCGAAGCATCTGGTGAGTCGAGATCACGTGTTTTGGAATAGAAGCACGAAAGTCGGTGGAGGTGGCGGTACCAAAGGTGGAAGAAGGCATGGTGCACACGAGGGGAGAGAGAAAAAGTCAAGAGACCCGCGCCGCCGTCAGCTATATTGCATCCTCCCGCGCAAGCAAACGAGCTAGTGAGCGAACTCCTCGCTAGGCTCGTCCTTCTTCACTTTCACTTTGCTCATCTCGCCGGCCGAAGGTGGAATACATTTACGGATCGTTCGCGCGCGCCGCACGCCAACAACCGTGACCGGGAATATCCGCACAGCGGCACTACAATCCATCGGATCGTTACGATCGCACACCTCTATCTTCTCTACCTACCCAGCTGCTTTTACATCTTCAATTGCCCGCCAGTCTCAGACATGGACACTAAACTACTGCTCCTTTGGATGATAGCTTGTCAGGTCTTAGCTGCAACTCCCGAATCCTTCGTAAGTTTTTTTTTACTATTAACGAGTTATGATAAAAGATCAAGGCTTTTTCAAAAGGATCAATAACACTGCTTTGTGTAATTTTGTAACTCACCATATCATAAGCTTTGACGTGATTATATAATTGACAGATAAAAGAGATTTTTGAATATGAACGTCTTGCATGAGCTTTCGTAGTTCTTTTAAGAACATATACATTCGATTTAACGATTTTCTATCTCTTATCAATAAAATTGATCTTTTATGGCACTGACAAAATCACAACTTACAAAGAAGCAATAATTATAAAACTGCCATAGTAGAAATATTTTATGAAGGTTTCGTTACTCAATTAATAGTTTTTTTTCGTTACGTGAATGATTCCGTGCTTCAAGAAAATAGAGTTCAACGGACAAGAGCAATAACCATGAGAGCTATCAAATCAATGATTACCAGGCATTACACAAATAAAATCGATAATTATATCGTTTACAAGAAACTCAAATCGTTTCTTATGTTTTAGTGGCGTTTAAACGATTGTCTTAATTGGTGTAACACTTTTTACTATAATAAACATTATCTCGGCAATTTATGGCTGTTTTTATAAAATAAAAATGCAATCAAATTTACAGCCTTCCTTATATTATTGCAGTACATATATATGAAAAATTTCGAAATAACATAAACGTAATAAAGCAATAGGCAGGAGAGAAATTAAAAAAATATATCTTTACTTTCGATTAGAAAGATCTAAGAAAAAACTTATCAAGAACTATACATCTGTAGGTTAGAAATGAACTATCTATTGTTCTAGTATTGAAAAAATTCTCATATGTAAATAAAGAATATTTTTTAATATCGATGGAAATCTCGTGTATGTATAGCTATTTTATAAAATTCAAACTGGTTTGGTGAACCAATTCTTAACAGCCAATCAAACCGAATAACATTTTACAACATATTGGAATCTACTCAATATTTAAATAAATTTTAACATTGTTTATTCTAATATTGTTAGTAATATAGAAATCTACACTTTGTATCAATAGCAAATAAATAAAATTAATAATTTTAAATACTCTTTTAAATTACTACGTTTTCATTTAATGTCAGTTTTTTACATAATGTCACAAGCTTACATGTAGCCTTCCTCACAAAACCTATGATTTATTGAAGCAGAAGTGAATAATAAATATTTCGTGGACCATCAATTTAAATGTCATCTCTAAATGTAATTTTAAACTTCTTCACAATAATGAAAATCTATCGAGAAACTTATTACATAACAAAGATCCATTGTACGTTTTTCATCCGGCTGGTAATTAAGCAATTTTTTTTAAACTGGTCATCCACGATCATCAAGCATCATTCTTTTGTGGATATAAAATTAAAAAACATTCTATTCTGTGTTTTGTATTCAATGAATAACGGGTTTTCAAAACATTTTTTTCTTACACCACAGACTATAGTTTGCAAAATTTGCATACAATTTACAAAATTCAAGTTTATTGTAAAATTTTATAACAAACTTATATTAATTTTTTTGAAATCTACGATTGAGCATGAACTTTTGAGTCAAATGAATCATTTATCTGAGTAAACTTATATTAACGAGCGAATAATATTCTCAAATGTATAAAAAATATTTTAAACAAATTTCTAGAATACATCACCACCACCATTCGTGACATCTTTTAGCTGCATTGGACGTCCAATGGGTTTTTATGCAGACATAGGAACCAATTGTCGAGGCTATCATACGTGCGATGATCACGGCAATCATTTCATGAATTATTGTCCAGAGGATACAGCTTTTCGTCAGGATGCAATGGTTTGCGATCACGCATATCTTGTCAATTGTAAAGCCAATATTGACAGCGTAAATCCACCAACAAGAATAGGTCAAGATAATAATCACGATGCACCTCCTTTATCATTTATCGAACCCCATGACAAAGAAACGAATGTCAAAGGATTTGCAAGATCTTTCAGAATAAATCCAGATGCAAAAAGTTCCAGCTCTGCAAAACATTCTACGTTTGTATTGAATTCCAGTGTATTTTTGAAGGATAGATATGCGTCGAAAGAACAAAAATTAGCATCGACTGGGTAAGTTCTGCATAAATATATTTGTACTTTTTAATAAGTGGCTTCCCGGCACAACCAAGCAAATACGAATTTCATAGCAATTTAATTAATGCTAGATTCTTATAACTTGAGTACGTCTTTTTCAAAATATCATATCTCGAAGAATCTAAAATTCAAGATAAAATCAATCCATACGTTTAAAAACTATGCTGCATAATGAAAAGTCATTTTTTGTGAAAAACATTCTTGAAAATCTGTTCAAATCTGAATAAATACACGATGAAATCATTAAATTGTAATATTATTATAAATTTGAAGAGATAATAGTATAGTAGTCTATATTTCTATAAAATTACGATATATCATAAGATTAATAGGTATATTTCATATGAATTGTTTTCAACGTAATCTAATACGTCTAGTGAAAATTGAAATTCTTATATTGTAAAGAAATTAATACAATAATGTTATATAGTAGTTCATCGTATTCTACTGTGTATCTTGCTAAGTCTTAGTCGAAGACGTCAAAGAATTTATAACATAGATCGTGAAAAATGGAGCGAACCTCCAGATAGACCAACTTGAAGATCTAAAATAACAATCTCTACAGCATTCTTCTATAAAGTTGTAAATAGTTGAAAGAATTTGAAGAATATATCATGTCAGTTACATGTCAAATTTTTAAAGTAGCTTAACGATTTTACAAATTTGTTTGTAACTTTAACCGATCTATTAAATTATGAAAATGCGAGTTATGCGGGAAGCTGCTAAAATATTCTATTATAGATAGATATTTATTTCAAAGAAATCATCCAAAAAATAATAATTTGTTTCGTGTATGTATATTTCTAAAGGACCCGTGCGCCAGACAACGAGTTTTCTATGACAACGGTTATGCAAAAAGATTATTCACACAATCCATTCCTTGCTACACACTCGAAAACAACTTCTAATGAAATAGTATTGCCAGATCAATTAATTTCATTATCACGAGAACTTCAACCACCGATCAAAAGTTTAACAATATCAGAAGAAAGCAGTGAGACTCATAATGAAGATTATTCATTTTTAATACCGCCAGCAGTAAGAGATGACAATGTCAATTTTGCAAAGAATTCGTTTACATTGTCAAAACTAGATGATATCGAAAACAGCAACTCTCGCCTATCCGTCATGTCGTCCGAATCTTTCAATGTTGACAGTATCAATAGCTTTGAAAAAGATTCGATTGAAACAGTAACCTTCTCTCCTCGAACTACAATGATTTTAGATATGATGAAAGCTCAAACTCTTGATGAAACATTCGATTCTGATTTTTTTAAGCCATCAAAATTACTTTTGCCTCCGTTATTCAAGTCTGATTTCTCTGCATCTGCGAGATCAAATTTCAATTTTCGTTCTAACAACTACCCTTATGTAGAGACTTTGAAATCTATTCAAAATAATAAAGCTACTACTTACTCAACAACTCAGTCACCTTTGAGAATACACGTCACGGATGCTTCAATTTTTGCCGTACCAACAAAATCTCTAGCCCCAGCAAAAGATATGGAAAAGGATCCTTATTATCCAAAGCTACCAACATCTACTGAAATGTATTATACATCACAATTACAGTCAGACAAATCTAGAAAACCGCAGTTCACAACTACACGAAGACCATTTTCGAGCAATGCTAAATTTGAAATCCCTGCTGTTTTGCCAGATCTTAACAGTTTGGAAGACTTGCTAGATCGTAGAAAAATCTTTTTCATTCCTCAAATCAAATCTTAACTTGAAATTAGTTTATTAAACACAATATACTCTCGATAGTTGTTTATTGAAACATCAACATTCAAATGTAATTTAGACGGAAAATATTATAAAATATCTAAACAACTATGAAATGTGAGCATTAACAGATTTTTTCGTATACCAAGAAACATTCATTTTAAACGTCAAGTGCCTAAATAATGTTTAATATAAATCTGATTTCCAAGATTTCAACTCCCATTGAAAACACTGTTTAATTTACAAATGTTTATTGATAAATTCTTTACCATCGACAAAATAACTATACAAGGAAGTAACCAACTAATTTATACACTAATCCAATTACAACTTATTCTTAAAAATTACGTTATATGTGACAAATAAACGAAGTTTTTTTTAATTTATATTTATTTCATAAGTATGCATAACAGATATATGAATTTTGTACTTAATATGTAACTCTTCAAGTATTTTTACTGTACATGTTCAATAAACGATATAAAAATTGCATATGCATTCAATCTTTTAGATACCTACATTCATATTGTTCTAAATTCATAATTGCAATAAAATTTGTTGATTGATGATCCGGAAAGTTGATTAAAATTTTCAAATTTATTTATTCTGTTACATCATTATAAGAACTTGCAAATATTAGACACATTAAATAAAAATTATAAGTCGTCGAATTACTCATGGATTTTAGAAACATTTTGATAAAAAATTTAAATACAGCTTCAAAAACCTAACCGAAAACAATTATAGATTCTCAAAATAATTTCATATGCCACTCATTTGTTTAGCTAAAAATTTGAAGCTGACACACTTTGGATATCCATACTATGATTTAACTTAAGCAATTTTGAATTTTTCAATTAGAAACCAAAGTTGAATTTCTATAAACAAGTAACAGATTTAATTTTTGTCTAGAATTATTGCGGTAATAAAACTTTGAACGAACTAGAGGTGACTAATTGGTAGTAAATATTCAAGTGGATTTTATAGTTTAGAATTGAACACGACAGAGCATTCGCTTCAAAATAATTGATATTATTAGTACATTATAAAATGTGGTAAGCTTATCTTTGAAAATTGTAAGTCCATCTAACCAAAATTTAGTAAACTATAGATACACTATTTTTATTCAATGTAAGCTGGTACAGATGTAATATGGTTATTATTTTTTGCTTTTATAAAGTCTCCTAGATTTTTGAAAATTGTCTCGGTTCCATAAGATTCATCTTTTAACAGCTCAATACCTACTTTAACATCTTAAGAATAAATATTACTTATTAAAAAATTGCAGTTTTAAATTTCAAATGCTTATTAGAAAAGTTAACAACAGATAAATGATTAAATAATAGTTTTCATACCTGAGTAAGGAATCAAACAACAGTCTTGACGTTGCTTCATATTATCAGACTCATTTTCTGATTTGTCGTAGACTTTTGAAGATTCTAATTTGTTATCTTTTGAAGACCTATTTTCTATCAGCACTATGCCACAATTATCACATCTGCTTGGATATCTTATAATTTTCAATACAACATTAATTTTACGGTGATAATTTTAGAATACAGTCAGCCCAATTATTGGAATAAAACTCATCATTTTTAAGATAATAGGTAAACAATACAATTCAGTCACTGTTTTTTTAAACACGATTTAAGAAGTTCAAAATATAATACTAGTCTACTTAATTAAAAATAAATCCATTCGTAGATTAATACTCCTTTTTTATAGAAAAAAGTTAACAATGCAAAAAAGTTGGAACTAGTCTACGTATTTATATGATAATAAAACTATTTTGCGTTGCAGTATTTTCTAACACTCAATGAAAACATTTTCTTCAATCTTGAAGTTTGTATGTAAATTGGTGAATTCTCATAAAACTAATTAGGTGATATTGTTTATAAAAATAAACGTTAAAATACACGCTAAAGGAGAATAACACGTAGCTGTATTTCTCTATATATGTCACGTTCTTTTGTAGGTAATCTTTTTTCCACTTGACCCAACGATTTCTCAACAAAAAATTTATGATCGTCAAGTGCCGATGGTTGACGAATATATAAATTACTTCTTACTCAGTGTGCTACTTCATTAGTATAAAAAAAGCCTCTTATGCGTGTTTTACGACACCTTTGGCACTGCGATGAATCTTACGGTGAATAAATTAGTTTTGTCGTTGACCTACCTATCGACATATTTCGCTTCAGGTAAAATCACAAGATCGTCGCATCCGCAAGGACAAGTATTATTCTCGCCTACTTTTATAGTTTCAACTCGTTCACCGCAACCGCAACATTCAACCTTTAAAATAGTACATATATGTTCATGCTCATTCAAGGAATATTGTAAATGGTGTAAAAAATCAGTATATGTACAGTTATATTTGTTTCACATCTATTTTAAGGCGAACAAACGAAGAAAATAATTTATTTTTTTAATATAGTCGAATGATTAAAAATGAGATCGGATGATTGTGTTATTATTGCCTTATAGACGATAAAAGAATTATGTTAAATTGTGTTCTATAATTTAATTTATTTATTTATAATTTAAACTCACTCGTAAGGGTCTATTCTTATCATTGCTTTCCTTAATTGGACCTGGAGGATTTCCGTGTAGCAAATCTGTCGTTAAAAATATGATTCTAAATGAAATTTAAAGTTGTAACTAAAATTATTATAAATATTTCGTTATAGCTTTGAACTCATATTTTTAAAAGACATAATTCGATTTAGTTCGGCAATATGAAAACGTATTAACGAGAACAATGAGATTACCATGAATGCGTTTCGTATAACTAATTTGGTCATTGGAACTGTCAGAATAGTATTCTTCCTAAAATAGAAGTAGAATTGAATGTTAATGAAAATAAAAAATACTTGTATGGATTTAAAATCTACTATTACAGAGGATGATTCACTGGACAAATTACAATAGACAGCTTGATTTCTTTCTCGCACATTTTGATAGGTTATATCCTCTATTGCTGTATTTACTTTTTTCACATTCAATTTGAAGTTTTTGAGATTTGTTTGTATTTCTAATTTTGAATTAGATATCCTCCTTTCAGTCAAAATATTTGTTGGCGACCTTCTCGGTGTTAATGGCAATGTTGTGTCTCCTCTTTTTAATTGCATGGAATTATCTACGTCAAACTTATCAAATTTATTTCTTTTATATTTTTTTGCTTTAGAAGCTAATTTACATTCCAAGGTTTTTACTTTCTTGCCGGAAGCATTCAGAGAACACTTGCACGGGTTGCATTTCATACTGCGATTATTATTTTGCTCTTTCATATTTTTGCTTCGATTCAATTCACCTTCGTTAGAACTGCAGAGATGTGATTTTTCGCAATACTTGGAAAATTCATTTAACCGGCTATTGCAACTTGCTTTTTTTTCAATATCATTTTTCTCTTCAACGTTTTCTGAAGAACCTAATTCCTTCAAAGAAATCAAACATTTAGTCATCGAATGGATTAATTTAGCCATACCTATCACGATATTAAGTAATTTACGTTGCAGCAATTTTTATTAGCGTCACAATAATCATCATAGTATTCGCAAGCTAGTTGTTCCATAATTTTTTGCAGTTCTTTTAATTTAAATATAAATACTTGCGTTGATTGCATTAAATAGTGCAATTCAAGTTTCTGGAATTAATTAAAAATGTTTCATTGATATTAAAACAAATGTTCATATCAACGGACAATTTTCTGTGTCTTAGTTTCGCTAGAAACATCATTACATAATATACCTTCTCTTTATTAAAAATCTTCTCAAATTGATTAATTAAGTGATTCAACTTAATATTTATATTTATTTCAAATTGATTATCTTCTTTGGAAGTCTGTTTCCATGAAAAAGAATATTTATAATGTTTAGTGATGCTGGAGTACAAATAAAAACTCAATTTTTTAAATTAATCATTATTGTAAACAAAGTATATATTTGATAAAATTATAACCTAAGTAATGTATATAACTTCGTAAACAAAACACGTAATATACAAATGCTTACATTATTAGGATGAATAACTAATTGGCATTTGGTTTCTCGATTATGAGCAGATGATGCCGATTTATTTGATTCTCTAAAATTCTTATCGTCACTTGACATCTTGTATGTTTTTATAAAGCGAGTGAATTATAAATGTGTAATTATATTATGCATAGCTGTGCAACTTCTTAAAACGACTGAAATTTTCAAAAATGATAAGACAAGATCGTATTGCACTAAAATTTTTATTTAACCTGTCAAATTATTTAGAATTTGATCAATGTTTACATGTTTACATACGAGACCTTTTTAGTTTTTTTACATATATTATTTGCTAACTTCATGTGACGTACTTGAAAACATAAGAATGTTTACTAGTTACTAACTTATTTGATAATTATTAATTTAGATAAATAAGCAGAAAATTGAAGAAATATCGCTTTGTTTGGATAAATTAAAAGTTTTCAAAAGTACATAAGTATATATTACCATTATAATACAAAAAACGAAATGGCAGATTTAGAAAATAAAATAGAATCTAATAATCAACAAAAAAATGAAAAAAGTAGTTACTGGAAAAGTTTGTTAAGCAAATACGAAAAAAAAAATGCAGAATTAGAAAAACGCCAAGCCGCTCTGTCTGAGAGGATTAGATTTATGGAATGCGCATTGCCAACATTGGTTTTGGATTCTATAATTAAATCATCGGAAAAGTGCAAAATAAAAGATTGATTCTGAGTACGTGATGTACACATGTAAAATTACTGCAAAACTATATAGTATTATTTTTTCATGAATATACTTTGAATTTTAGATTTCAGTAGAACTTACATGACATATTCTATTACGAATATTTATAACAAATTTTCAAGAATAATACCAAATTCTTAAAGAGTAACGCATATTTTATACTGTAATTTTGAAAGTACCAAACACGTCTTAATTATAATACTTAAAAATTGAACTTTACTTAATGACGTTGTTATATTTGAGAAATAAGGAATGAATGATGATTGTGAAAAAGGTGAAGATAAAAAATATTAGTATTTTTTAATGTAAGATATTTTATTGAATAGATTACAAGATACGCAAAGAATGTAAATAATTCGTTATTACCTCGACGAAGCGACGCCCTTTTAATTAAGTTTATAGTTCCTGACGTACTTATAATGTAAGCTTGAAATACAACTTTTTACAGACATTTAAAAAGGCAGATTGAAAGAGTAATGGTAAACTACAACTTTCATCAATACTCATCATTATTTTTGCGCATTGAGATTACCCATGAATGACTTTTAAAGTCAAACACAAGACTGTCAAAGGGTATCCCAAAGCTACATCGTACTTAATTGCTCAATCAAAGTATATCGACTAGATACATTACATAATATTTTATATCGATTTTATGGGTTCAACTTAGTATTTTTTATCGTACGGCAGTATCATAGCAAATACTCCTTACAAGGTAAGACCCTCAAATACGCTACTTCGCGTGAATGGGCGGAAAAAAATATTTTCTTCATTACAACGTAGTAACAGTACGTTGTAATCTATTACGAATGGAATCGGAAGCGTTTTATCTATAATTCATATACCTTTTAGACAAATATCGCTCAATTTATTACAGGCTGTAACAAATTGTCATGGAAGAATGATTGTTTTTGAAGCAATAATTTATTACACATAAACATTTGTGAACTTTTAATTTCTTAACACCGCTAACCAAGTGAAAAAGATATTTCTTTAACTGAGACTCATTTGTAATTTGTAAGTAACTGAAGAATTTTTGACTATTTTCAGTGTTGAAAGTATATCTAATGTAAACTGTATTCTTTCATTCTTTTCCAACAAATATGACCGAATATATCTAGGATAAACGGTTGTATCTTATAAAAACGTAAATTCGATAAGCAGTGAGCGTATTAAACATTGTTATATAAATAATTGTAGGTCTATATGAATCATAGTTAAAACATAGATACACGATAAATATCTAATAGTTATTAATTCTTAAAATAAACGATGAAAACAATTGTTTAAATCAGGGTATTTTTCAATTTAATTTTTGATAAATTTGTGAAATTACGCTATAAAAATAATAATAACGCATCATCAGATAAAAATTCGTCATTTTTAATATTGAAACTCTCGGTAAGAACTGATCAATAATAAAGTAATCATATTATACTTATGATTGTTGACATAAAGAATCACAGCTCGCAAAAAAAAATTTTCAGGTTTCCATAATTTGTACAATCTTAACAGTCTCCATCAAAATTTGATTGAAATAATATGCAAACTTAATTTAGACGATTGCATTTTTATATAAGAGAACAGTAAATTACTCCTTCTAGTGGAAAAATTCATTTTCAATTTTCCAGGGTGCTACAATATGGAGTAATGCGCATTTCCTGTGAAAGTAAAATCTAATATCAAACCATTTATCTTGTTGAATGAAACACGGAAGACAATCGATAATACATAAATAAACGATAGTTTGGACAATATGTACAATCTTCGTGTACTTCATGACGATGTTCAAAGATAGAAACTTGTCGTTTTGAGCTCGTTCTTGCAATCGTGGGAACTTGACGGCAGGACGCACCATTTCTGGTCGTTACTTGATTTTATCAAGCAGCGCCAGCCATTTTGTCCTGTAAAAAAACACATGTATTAATAATTATTAATAACCAAAATTTATTATGGATTTATTAATTTTGATTTGTTAACTATATTCACCTCATTTGAAGCTTTAAAATATCAGTTTCTTCTTGTGATTCGTAGGAAATGCGATCTTAGAGTATGGAAACCTGACGCCATTGTGTCTATATTTTTATCTCTTAATTTTTTAATTTTTCAGTGGGAAGGAACTTCACCTCCATCGGAAGTAGATTATTTGCTGTAATAAAAAAATGAATTCAAATGAAATTGTTGCATATTCTTTCACTTAATTTGTTGAGGTAGATTAATAATTAAAATTTGGTGCGAAAATCTTGCTATAAATTTATTTGAATCGAGTCAAAGATTTGTAATTAGAAACTTTTTCTTCTCTATTTCAAGCCCCTCCTTACAATTTTGTAATTAACTAAAACAGTATATATACATACAGTAAACGGGAGAAAGTTGTAGCGTCTTCCCTCCAATAATTTGCCTAAACGTAACATAGTTGAATACTTGAACAAATTTATTATTATAAACGTTGTAGCCTACATTATGACTATTCAATCTTGAAGCATTCTATTGAGCGATTTCATCATAAAAAAATTAAGAAATTTTTGTATAAAGCTTTACTGATGAAGTATTTATCATGGAAGAAGGCTAATATACTTCATGAATCAACGGAAGCAAATAATAGAAATTATGCCAAACGGAAAATGAGAAATTTTTTCTGTAATACACCATTTTATTACGTACAAAGCTATATATTCTAATAAAACAAATATAATATTAATAAAATTTACGTAAAAGACGTGTATCACAATTACAAAATATAAAATAAGGAGTTTTTATACACTAAGCTGAACAACACGTCAAATTTATTTAAAAATGCATGGCATCGTTTGTCAACTATATTAAGCCAGACCTTAGTATTCCTTGTATCAATAATTGATTTTTTATTTCATCTGCATCTATAATAAATAATTCGTCAGTAAAACTTTAAAAATAAATTTTCCAAAGTTGGAGTAACACTTGTTTGATTATAATTTGCATGAACACTGATGATACAATAAAATCATTCTTGATTTTTTCTAGGCTAAAATATTTACCAATATTAATTTTTTCACGTACCAACTATGTTTAGAATATACAAGTCATTGGACGGAATACACGATAAATTTTCCTCGTTTACAATATATCTTTTAGCTAACTACAGAATTGTTTAGGGGGAAGACCTAAATTGCACTAAATAAAATTGTGTTGCCACATTTAATAACAATTGAAAATAAAAAGACTCGATATATTTTTTATTTAATAAATTACAAATTTTCTAATATAGAAACAAATAAAATGAATTATTAAAAATAACAAATCTAACGAATAGATGGCTCTATCATAATATTTATACAAATATTATTTAGTGAATTACTTAATTGATAAGAAAATAAAAAGAACGAGCAGAGTATAGTAATATAATTTAGTTAAACCATTACTTTTTTTACATTTTATGGCGGTTTTTCCCTAATGTATATCTTATGCTCGTGAAAAGCTTCCAACTATATATGGCAAAGCCCCGTCACCTTCAACAATCGTAACCACTAGTATCTACGTAGAACATGAGTATTAATTTTCATAAGAAAACCGGATTATAATGTTCAGCTGCAGTTTGATGCGTCGCACCATGCTACACAGAACGGAGACATGTTGATTAACTGTAATGTTGATGATATTCACAATGTTAACTGAAAACTTCAGATTAGAATTTGGAATAATAGGTTTGCTTGGCATACAACGAGTAAAGTGTAAATAACAACTGCATCCAAAAGGTTTGATAAACTTAGAAGAGTGTAATGTGTGAGTAGAAAAAATGAGATCTAAAGTGAAACCAAACACATTGTAATGTTAATTAAAATGACTTTTCAAAGCTTTCTTATAATATCATTGCTTGCAATAATCGTTTATTTAGACGATTCCTTAATTCATCGTTACCGTCGATAATGAACTTATAATATGTTAAAGCACTACATATAATAATATGTTAAAACGCTAAAAATTTGAAACTTGACACTTGAAAAACGTACGAATATGCTCGAAAAGTCACATTTGTTTCCAATTAAATTCTCTACTTTGTTGCTAAAGTCTGGAGGAAAAACTGTGTGAGTGAGATTCAAAAAAGACACTAATAAAAACTGAGTATAAAATGTAAATGCTTTAGGAAATAATCGTTTTAACGGAGAGGTGCGACAAATAAACAAACTGACCTTGGGCCAGAATTGAATGAGCTGCCCAGCCAGGGATTTGTCAAGTCCATTATATTTAGATTGAGATCGTCTTTTCAAGTATCTTGGTCTGATGATTTCGTTCTTCCTAAAGTCGGTTAGCTTACAATCTTCAAGCGTTCTTATGCGCTCGAGTACAGTATTGATAACAATTCACAGAATATAATATATCATAACATATATCTTTCGCGATGTACTCTTTCTATAGCTGCTTTATCAGGATGAAAAATGTTGGCGTTCATTTAGCCGATTCCGCTGCATTAAGCATTTTATTATATGACAAATGCCATTGTTGACCCATTATTATTTTCGTTCTATTTATCCACTTTTTCAGTTCTTTTAATCTAATCTCAATATTAGTAGCATATTTTTATAGCATGTTTGTTTTTTATCTTCCTATACTACTCGTAAGATTGCATCGCAAAAAAATCTATTATTTTCCTTTTCCTTATCCGCCGTCAAGAATTTTTATTACTTTCAACATTTCATCGTCATAAAATCATATAGATACACCTGTGCAAAAGCTCTTATAAACAATGTTTAATAGAATTTTTTTCACCATGACAACTCATTTGTCAGAGAAAACCAAGTCCCTTCGTAAGGAAATAAATTATGATTGCTTAATATTCAGTAGTATAGAGTAAAAATAGAGTACACGTTTGAAACAGACGTATATATAATTAATGAATGAATTAGACGCGAATTTCATCGAAGATAATAAATCGTAGATAAGGTTGTTTGCGAATCGTACGGAAATTGCGCTCAAAACTGCCGCTAGCTTTAGCCTGCGCAGTCTGTCTGCTTGGCATGCTTTTAGGTGTTGATAGGCTAGTGCTAACCTTTTTCTCGCCAGACGATTCGTCTATATAAACGTGAGATTCTGGCTGGTGTAGCTCGGGCTGCTCACCCTCGGAAGCTTTAATTTTTAAGGCACCTGTTCTCTCTTCTTTTTCTTCCTCCTTAGCCTCGGTAGCCACTTCCGTCGGTGGCTCGACTGGCATACCGCAACATTTGTCTGTCTAATAAAAAAACAATAACAATCATGCGTATTTTTTTAAATGTGCAATTTATTGTATTTATCATGTTAAATGGGAAATTAGCACTCAAAGCGAAAGCATTATTCCAGAAACCAATTAAATCAATATTCATTATTTAAATTATGGTTTGATGAAGTATTAAATTTTATGAATTATTTGATGTGTTAAAATCAATTGACGTATATTCCGACTTGTTCACATTTTGTACTAAGTATAAGTAACTTTTCTATTTCTTACGAAGAAAAACGTTTTCGATGAATCCTCCATGAAAAACAACCTTTCACGCCAGTCTGCAGAAAATAATTTAGTTACTATCAGCGATTATTAAATATCGCAATATGTTCTCGATTTTTTAGACAACTCCAATTTGGATTTAATTTACTTTTCAATATATGTTATCTATAATTTTTATAACAAATTCATTTGATTGAAATGTTTAATACGTGAAAAGAATCCGATGGAATGTTTTACGTTGGTCAAATAAATGTCGAGGAAAGAATGTATTTCGATGGCATATATAAATTTTTCGATACTCCGTGCGCAAAATGCGCCTTTCCCGCACGCTCGGCGGAAAACGTGCGTTGAAAATTGCACTTTCCACACGTCGTATAAAAAAATACGGTACGGCACATGTTCAGGAAAGAGTTTCTCGCTTCGCTCGGGCGTAAACGCCACACGAGACAGGAATCTACTTTCCCGCACTTGTATCGTAATGTACTATAAGGATGCTTCTGACTATTTTAACTAGTGTCTAGACTATTTTAATGTATATTTTTTTCCAAATATAACGATAGATATTACGACTGTATTACGATGATAAACAATGGCAATGAAAGGCTAGGACCCACGTGTTATAGATACCAAAGATGAAATGAAATCTATATGTTAGAGTATGTGCATGTGCAATAGCCACAAAAGAGAAAAATGTATTGGAATTTTGTAATTTGCATACTTGATGTGAAATTCTAAGGAAGGTGGAAGAAGGTGATGTAGTTCATGTGATTTATGATAAATTACAGTATGTTATTGAGTTTTTTCTTACAAAAATGTATGTGTGTTGTACAAAACATATTAACGATTACCAAGTGAATTATGTCGTTTAAAGTCTACATTTCTATTTACCAAATTGTACAATTAGCAATTGTACATTATCATTCAGCCATTTTCTAGTATATATCGTCATTATTGCGATACGGATACAATATTATATACTAAATTATTCTTTGGTACTAAAATTAAAAGATCTAGTTTCAACATTTTTACATGCGTTAATTAAAAAAATAAAATAATAAGCTAAAGAATCTACGCACAAAACGAAAATTATGTAATCATAAATTTATCCTAAACTAAGAATCCGCCGGCAGTCAATGTGCATTATTATCAAAAGCATAGCATAAGGATAGCAAAAAAAAATACTGAATTATGTACAGAAATTTTGAGAAAGCTTGCAAGACAAAGTATGAGCAATGGGAGTTAGCGATATACGTCGGTAAGATCAAGATCGATTGATGGCGACTGTGTCAGCGTAAAGCAAACGAATTGGAGCACGAATAGGAGGCCGTTGATCAACGAGTAAATGCGCGCGCGGAGACTTACGTCGACTTGGTCGCAGCCGACAGCAATGGATTGCATACTAATGCTGGTCCGCGAGATGGTGGACAGCCGGGAGGCGGCCGAGTCGCTCTCGACGAGGCTGCTCGAGCGGCTGGCGAGCGAGGCACAATTGCAACGTTCGCACGGCTTGGCGGCGGCGTCGGCAGCGGCGTCGGCGGTGGCGTCGGCGGCAGCGTCGGCGGCGGGTTTGGCGGTTGCGACGTCGAGTTCCTGGGACGACAAGTATTCGGCCTTGTTGAGCTCGGTGAGGTGCTCGAAGAGCGCTCGGTTGAGCTCGAGCTGGGCCGCCAAGCGCTCGGACACTTCGCGCTGCCTGCTCTCGTAATCCGCCTCGAGCTTGGCCCAGGTGGCGTCCGCCTGGCGCAGGGTCTCGAAGAAGGCCGCCTCCCGCTGCTCCAGGCTGGCGACCTGCTGGCGCAGTCGGGACTCGGTGCTAGCCAGGCTGCGCAGCTTCGCGTCGCAGCTCTGCCAGAGCTCGACGCAGTCCGGGCAGGGGCGGTCCCGCGGCGCCGTGCCCTGGGCCGGCGCCTCGGCGTCGCTCGCGCCCTTGGCCTCGCGACCCGCGAGCGCGCGCTCCAGCTCCGACTGCAGCCAGTAGGTGTTCTCGGCCAGGCGGTAGTTCTCGTCGAGCAGCTCTTCCTCGCGCTGCTTGGACAGCTCGCGCTCGGCCTCGCGCCGGGACAGCCGCTCCTCCAGCTCGCGGATGCGCTCGTGCGCGGCGCGGCAGCCCTCGCAGCCCTCGGCCTTGGCCCGGCGCTCGCTCGGTGGCGTCGCCGCCGGCGCCGGTGGCACTTTGGCCGCGCGCTCCTGGATGCGGGCCCGGAGCTCCTGCAGTCGCTGCACCTCCTGCAGCAACTCGCCGGCCGGCGCCTCGCTCGGGGTGGCTTGGCCCGGCGGCTTGCACGGGCGAGCCTCGCCAGTGCTGCTGGTGCCGCTGGTGCTGCTGGCGTCGCCGCTGCTCGCGCGCTCCTCGGTCTCGTCGGCGTTCTCCTCGTTCTCGTCGTCGAAGATGCCGCTCTCTTGCAGCGACAGCGGCCCTTTTTGCGCGTCCGTTGCCAGCACTGGCTGGCTGTTGTAAGTGGAGCTGTACGGGATGACCGTTGCTATCGCGCGGTCTCTGTGCTTGCTCGCTGCCTGTTCCTGAAATAGATTTGCCGATCAGATCGAACTCTTGTTTTGGTTTGCGCGCACTTGGAGATACGTGAACATCAAGCAAAAAGCCTCAGTGCGACAGTGATTCAAAGATGTCATTTGTCAACTGTCTACCGTTCAATGGACCTCTACTCGATAAGCTGTCGAACGCGGTCGCAGCGACGGTAAAAAATAATCAATAAATACCTTGTAGAGATGTATGGGTTCCGGCGAGACGATGCCACTGTCTGCCGGATCAGGCGTGTTGCTCAGATTGGGCGACTCTTCTAGCTCGAGCACCCTGAACTCCAGCACTTCGTTTTGCTCGCGCAGCTCGGATAATTCGGCCGCGAGGGCGACCTCGCGCTCCTCGGCTACGCGCAATTTCTCGCTGAACGCTCGCTTGTACGTTTGATTGCCTCTGGTCTGGAAGTCAACAACGAGAAGATCTATAAGACATTGCTCGCGAGTAGCAAGCGAAGGGAGAGCACGAGCTGGAGCAAGCGACTCACCTCTTGCAGCAGAGCTTTCTCCAATTCGAGCACTTGATCCCTGGCCAGAGCGAGCTCATGCCGCTCCTCCGATAGCTTGGCTTGCAGCTCCCCCACTTCCATAAGGAGACTCTCGTAGGCCTCCCGCGTGGGTCCGCTGGCCACAAACTGACCGTTGTGGCCGCTGGGCTGTGGCGAGAGCGAGGACGGCGCCGAGGACAGAACACTGTCGCCACCGTCCTCCAACTGCTGCTCGTCCTCGTCGTCCACTTCGGCAACTGGCTCCAGCTCCAGCCATTGCTTGTAAAATTCCTCCTTGCGTCGCTTGTTTGTCAGTTGCTCCAGTTTACGGTCTTTTTCCTGTTTCAACATTCGTTTGCTTTCATGTACGCATGCATTGTATTTGAAAGCATCGCTGCGGCGGTGTTGTGACCACCAGGCATGCGATACGCGCGAAGATGAAGCTACCTAATATGACTTACCTTTACAGCTTGCCTCAGAACTTCGATTACCCGCTGTTGCTCCATCGCGAGTTCTCGCAGTTGGCCAAGATCGGGTGCTGCCATCTCATCGTCGACCTCCACGCTGTCCCCCTTGCAAAACTCCACCTGTAATGAGTCGAGAATGCTTGGTTCGTTTCACGCCGAATAAGCGCTCTTGCGCGAATTATTTTCGGCGAAAGGCCGCTTTAAGGTGCCGATGTAGGTACATCGAATAGAGCAATACGCACCACGTGCTTCTCATGGCGGATCTTTTCCTCGATTCTAGTCGCTAAGCGAAGTTGCTGATTCCTCTGATTCTCCCGCAACTTGCGCATCTGTAACACAAGGGAAAGAAAAAATATTTATTCATGGCCGTCTGCAAGAGTATACGTACGATGCGCGTAAGGTGTAGCGCTGAGATAATTGTTCACTAATTGCACGTGAGATAGAGGATATCCGAAGCACAAACTGCAGGTGTACGTGCGAACGAAGCCGCCTCGTAAAAAGGCCTAAGCAAACGGCTTCATCGCGAGCAACGTGAAAATGTTGTCGTCGTGGGCTGAGACGCAAGACCGTTGATCAACCAAAATGTGACAGAACACGGCGCGCAACGCTCGCGATCTCGAGTTCCGCGAAGCGCGACTAACGAGTCCTGCGCGCGCTCTTTTTTCCTTTTTCTTTCGCCTCGGAGATACGCGATACAGCACAATGTGCCGCTGGAACATTTTCAATTTGCTTGTTGTGGGACGGACAAGAGCGAGAAAGCCATGCCAGATAACATCGCTGAGTGCCCGCGGCTTATAAAGCAAAAACGCGCCAGATACATCTCACCGGATGTTCAAAATCTTCATTTCTCTGGCATGACTTCCCTAGATCAAGCGCGATTGCATAACAGTGCTCGTTACTCGTCCTTTCATTTTTCTTACGACGACCACTTAATTAAATTACCACAACCTGTAAGATATTGTACGTGCTGGGCGGTCGTATTCGGGTTTTTACACGCGTAAGTAAATTAGATGAAATCTTGGAGCACCTCGGCTCGTTGCTCAGGCATTACTGGCCAGGTGGCAGGCGACGGCTCGCTGCCTCGGCCTTATACTATCCCGCGTACGAACGTCTCCTCGGACGTGATGGCCCGGTGTCGCGACCGAGGTATACAATGTTACATTACGATACGAGTGCGGGACAAGCAGTTTGCTGTCAAGGTCCGAGGTTTACGTCAGAGCGAAGAGAAGCGAGCCTGCAAAGTCACAGGAGACAAGAATCTACTTTTCGACACTCCGTGAGGAAAGTGCGTTTTTCCTGCCTGCTCGGCAAAAAACGTGCGTTGAAAATCGCACTTTCCACACGTCGTATCAAAAAATATGATACGGCACAGGTTCGGGAAAGAGTTCCTCGCTTCGCTTGGGCGTAAACGCCACACGAGACTAAAATCTAATTTCCCGCACTTGTATCGTAATGTACTATTCCCGAACACCCGAACATGCATCTTACATTCGGTCTAATTTTTCAATACGTTGTATGCACAGTTTGATTTTTTTGGCCGAGCCTGCGGCACAGTCGCACTTTACGCATGGAGTGTCGAATTATGAAAGTTCAAAAAATTCACTCCGTTACTTACGGTGTTGTGTGGAATAGAGTGAGGATACTCGTCGTCGATGTAACAAGGCATCAGCGATTTAAACATGTTTTGGCAGTATTGAGAAAAGCAGTTTTGAGAAAAACAACTTTATAAATTTCAACTGCAGCTAGTTTTAGAAATTAGCTATAAGCACAGTTACAGTTGCAACAGGTTGTTCTGGCGAGTACCTGAGCCAAACTGACGAAAATACCTATATTTCTAGTACTTTATATAGTCGAGCGCTTGAGCGAGCGGTAGGGGTAATTACCCTTAGAAAGCAATTAGCATGGAAACTATAAACAGGAGAGTCAGCACAATATATAGACTAACGAACCGAATCGACCATCCCCCTACCCCTTCCTCTACGTAAGTTACAGCGCCATCTTACTAGTGGGCCTTCAGCGAATTGCCGACGGATTGAAATCTATCAAATAATTTATAATTTTTTATATTTCACAATCATATATTTGACGATATTCTAGCATATGGTAAAATAGTTTTATCATTACATAATATACGTAACTACGCACAAAATTACATACTTCCAATCATAAAAAAATACATTCGCATAACATTCACATAATATTTACAATGAACATTATAATTAGAATTTAGTTTGTTTTCGTAAATTTTTAGCTTTCTGTTTTTTCGCACTGTGAATTTCGTTGTGCCTCTTGCACGCCATTCTCGTCCGTCTCTTCAAATAATAAATAATTAATTTAAAGGTTAAGTTAGTTAGTTAAGGTTCGGGAAAGAGTTTCTCGTCTGGTGTACCTTTCTACCTTCGCTTCGCTCGGGTATAAACGCCTTGACGAGACAAGAATCTACTTTGCCGCACTTGTATCGTAATGTACTAGTACCGGTATAATAGGGTTGTTCACTCCTGTATATAGCCTCCATAGCAATAGTCAATAAGACTTCCAGGTATCTGGAAAATCGGAAAATATTTGTCGGAGAGTATGTATACTTTAATTACAGTGCTATCTGCACGGCTCTCAAAATATCTATACAATTCACTATAGCTTCTAATTGTATAGACGCGTTTATCTTTCTTTTCTTCGATACTTTCCGATTTTCTTTGTCCAGTAAGCCTGTTGTTTACGACATTTCAATAACTTTGGGTAGCTCATTTAACGAGAATATTTGTCTCCTTATTCGATACAGACTTCGCCAATTATTTATGACTATAACCTTTCAACTAGTTAGCATTTGTATTACTCATTAAATTGATTGAATATCTTTATCGTAAAATTTAGTTTTGAATAAACATTATCAAAAATGAAGAAAATTAGTTATAAATCGAAAATTAATTTCGGTGCATTAGATACCGTTGATTAAATTGTTTTTAATTTATTTTATATTTATATTAACAAACTCTAAATGGTGACCGCTAATCAGGTGACAAAACAGTTAAAATAACGAAGATCTACGAAATACTTAAAATTATAGAGCAATATTTTATAAAATTAAAAAAATTGAAATGTGAGACTGCCGCCGGTTCTATTTATTTGAAAAAAAAAACTAAATTGGTGCGCTGCTCATTATTTATATAGCGTATATTACCTATAATTACCTATAGCAATCGTAGCGAGTGTCGTATCTCTCACTTGCTAGAGAGACGATAGATATGTAGCATGTAGGTATACGGGTGGCTAAAGGGTCGTTGTTAGAATCAGCACGCAAGCAGATAACAGACTTGGTGCAATAAAAGGGGATCTAAAAAGCGTACGCAGGTATCCGATGACAAATCTGAAATCTCGTAATATATAGTGACGGCGCTACGTGCGGCTTGTATAATGTGCACCTGTAAGTGCAGACATGATTTGGGCCAGTTAATGGCAACCGGCAACCTGCCTGAGAGTAAGCTAGGTGCCGTTAAAAGTGGCGCGCATTATAATCCTCGAGTGACTAGATTTGAGTGCGAGTTCCTACTTCATCTCCGTTTCTCGACTTTGATCTCTCACCTCAGAGCGCACTTTTTCAACACTTTTACCCAGACAGATAGTTGGCCGCTCGGCAACGGGTGGTTACGGCCCGTCAAGAAGCCTCTATAGGTAGGATCTATGGCTATAGTTTAGATACTATCTCATTCTGGCCGGGTCCATAAAAGTGAGCGCATCGCCTATTTGCCGCCGAAGGGCAGTATTATGACATGGCTGTCGGAATTTCCGAGCGACATCATGCGGAGATATCGAATCAGTGCGTTTATTTAATCACCTTTTGCTATTCTTTCTACATACTAATCGATGATAATTAAAACCATTTGCAGATGAACGAACGCAATGGTAACAAGCTATTGAAAGGCAGGCGCGCGCGTGTAAAAACAAGCAACAAGTTGACGTGTTTTTTTTTTTTTTTCGTTTCGTTGCGCGAGTGAAAGTTGCGTGCGTTACTGCCGAGCCCCTATACAACTGGCTCGCGCGAACGATTAAAATATCTCTTGACGCCTTGTCATGTTGAGAGGCTTTCATGGTGTCAAGCATAAACCCATCGACTTTCGTCCGCATCGAGCTTCTCGCCCAAACGACGCTCGACGATCGGCGCGATTTGCAATTAGTGAAAGTTATGGTGTTTTCCTCGTTCTTTTTCGCTGCCCCGTCGTCGAGCGTTCTCCTTTTCTCTCTTTTGGCGGCAGCCTTAATTGCAGACGGAAGTAGAAACAGACGCATTTTCGAACAAGACTATCCGGGTCATCAGGCAAGTGGGCGAAGAAACGTCGAGAGCCAGAGCCGTGGAGCACTGACCGGAGTGGATGTAAGCTTTCCTCTTATTTTGATGAATTGCTGCTCGTATTTCAGGATTTGCGGCGACTGCAGGTAATCACTTTCGATACTCGAGCTTTCAAACGGACAGCCTGCAATTATTCTCTCTAATTTATTTCGCCCGAGATATATTGTTTTTAGTCAAAAGCGAAGTGCGCGCGCGGATTCTAAGCACACGTAACGAAATGCGCGTATTTCATGCGTCGCCTCGTTTCGTTGCCTTGCTCTCGCGCAAGCAACACTTTAACATAAACGTCAACGCGCGCGTTCGCAAGGTTACGTTTGGCTACGTACGCTCCCCTCGGTAAATGAACAAGCGCGCGCCTCTTCTCGATTATTATAGTTGGAGCTCTGTGCGCGCGGAATGGCGCGGAAATTGCATTAGCGAACTTGCCCGACCGTAATTTCAACTGCACTGGCATTTACAACTTTCGCAAGCCCCGCACTGCTGTGCGTGTAAAAAGCCGCGCTGCGAACCTTCCGTTTCGTTTACGAAAACGAAATTGCAAACCACGCACGTATCCGATCGGGCTCTTGCCAGTGGGCACGCTCACCGAATTTCGCCCCATAACTTCTATTTCTCGAATAATCTGGCAATTTATTGCTTTATTCAATGCCTGACACGCCGACAATAAATGCAATCGCGTCGATAAACTATTTAACGCGTGAGTTCATTTTTTACCGTTGCCATACAGAATCCAGACAATGGCAGGGGCGTCGCTAAAGGTGATTTTCGCGAAGAGCAAGTTGTCGAGAATGGAGATGAGGCCGCGCAACAGCAATGGACCGTCCTTATAGCAGCGTGACGGCAGCGTGACGGCAGCCGCTTAACGGTGTGTCGCCCTTCGCGCGCGCGATCGGTATTGTAATTAAAATGAATCGCTCATTGTTCGCGAAGGAAGATCCCACAGATGGGAGTAGCTTGTAGACTGGAACCAAAGAGAAGGAACTG